ACTGCCCCGAAGCGTCAAAAGCGCCGCGAGTGGTGGAAACCACCCGTTTGGAGAGCCCACAGCAACTTGGCACTGTTTCTTGGCTGATCTCTTTGATGGTGCCCACAACGATGCCCCCTGCCTTAACCGTGCAGCCAGCCATTTGTGGCGGACGCCCAGAAGAATAATGTCCTTCAATCTCTATCTGCAGACTTCCGGTGAGGCCATTTGCGCCATCGATCTCCTTGATACAAGTCTTTGAAGAGAAATTGGGAGGGCGTCGACTATACGTCGTGACCGTCACAAACTCCTGCTTCGCCGGATCCACGCTCGAACACAGCACCCGAATCTCAGTGCTGTCGCTCTCTGGTTGCGCCTGCCGGATGATGAAGCCAGGCGTGTTGCTCAACAAGCCGATTCCGCTGTCTGCTGCCATTGCGCTTCTCAGACCCTATCAAATCTTATAGATGTCTGGAAATAGCAACTGGAAGCAGGCAGATCCAACCAAGCTCTTTTCCTGAGTGGATTTGCCAAAGTGCTGTGAAGGTGTTGTTTACCACTCAAATGGTCTTTCAAAGAAATATATACCTCCATTTGTTTCTGTCCTCCGGAAAAAGAACAAAACAGACAACAACCAATCATATTCCAGCAGTGATAATCCTTCAAAACCAACAGGGATGAGGTTTAAGTCTGGCACGGCAAAAGAGCTCAAGACAAGTTTTCAAGGACTTTGTTTGCACGCAGCACTCGTGTCAACAACCTCTTCTCCGAGAAAAAAAAGCCTGTCTTTTTCCGTGTGTGTGGGTGTCTGTTTTGAGAGTTGTGGGATTGAAAGGGAAACCAAAAGGATCACCACAGCTTGCTTCGGGCCACAAAGGACACCCGTCTGGTTGCTTCAACAGAGTTCGATGCCAAACAATCGTCGTCGAGTTGAGTCGAGTCGCGGTGGTGAAGGAAACGCGCGGCCGCTTTGGATGCGGGGACGGCGCTTGCCTGACAGCAAATAAGGAAGTTTCACGTGTTTCGCAGTTTCACGTGTTTTTGAGAAGCTCACAAGAGCTTTGGCCAAAACCAATAGGGGCATCTTTTTCAAGAATGGGGGGATACTTTCAATCGCTTGGTCATGACTGCAACGATCGCAATTCACAATTATGTTGCCTCTTATATTACGTATTTCCAAGAGGACGTGGGGACATTGGGTTCCCCCGGTCGTTGCCCAGATTCGAGTCCCATGTCCTCCCAAACCAACAGCGGACTACCCATATTGACAATATCTAGAGCCTCTTTCAGCCCAGAAATGGGCGATGGCCCTCTCTTGTTGGTTTGCAAAGGCATGAAAAAGGACCAACGTCTCGAAAAGCAATAGAAGCACCATGAACATCACAACAAAGCCCTGCTCTCTGTTGGACATGCGAAACGGGAAACCAACTTGAAACGAAGAATGGCATGGCTGAATGGCGAAACGTATGACACTTAAGCATTGGAACCTCCCCCCCAGAAAATCGAACTGTTGCAGGGCGCACTGAACGGAGCGATGCAGATGTCAACATAAGTTGGACACTTCCATGTGATGACTTGCACAAGGCTTACTCGCCAGTCATGGTTTCCATCTACCAGGACCCTGTGACCTTCTTACTGCCTTTGTAGCCCTCGTGTGGGTCAAAGACTGAAAAAATGGGGTCCACAAAGGGTCCAAGTGCCAACCAAAAAAAAAGAAAACAAGGCAAGAACATCGCCAGGACACAACCTCCTTCGCCTTTTGTTTCTCTACACTGCTCTACACCAAAACCCATTGCCTGGGGGTGAACCACTCCGCTTGCCAACTCCGACACTTGCAGCAATAGAGCGACACGGCTCTCCGCTGCCCGTAGCAAGTGAAGCATCAACAGCAACTCGCGAAACATGGATACACAAAATCAAACCCAAGCACAGAAATATCACATCAGACAAATCAGCAAACACCACAAACATCAAGCACATCAAAAGCCTCAAAGTTGTCCCTGCCTCTTGGTCTCCATGGCAGAGAGAGCCTGAAAACTCCGCAGCGATCAGTCACATGGTCCAGTGACAAAAACCAACCACATTGCTTGACCAATTCTCGGGGCCAAGAAACGCGTTCTCTTCGGCGATTCTCTCCCTTAGGGGGGCCAAAACAACCTGGCTGGAAGTAGGACCCCCGCAAATATATATATATATATATAATTATATATATATATATATTTGCCTGGTTAGTGGAAAACAAAAGGAACCCCACAAAAGCCAAAAAGCAAAAAGGGGAGCTAATTCTGGTGAAAAGGTGGATCAACCAGGCGTGTTTCGCTGTAGGAAGCCCTTGGATCCATTGTCCTTCTGGTTTCCAGGGCCGGTTCCCGTGGCAAATGGATCCAGAGGCCTGTGGAAGCCCAAATAGACGATGAGGGATGCTTTTTGCGCAACTCGCCTTACCATCCATAGCCGGGAAAAGATCTTTCCTTTGGCCAAGCTTGACGAAACCTATTATCAACAAAGTCGCATTTGGAGAATGCTTGATGCGTCTTGTACATGACATTTAGGTCCTTTGGCTTGATATGAATGGCAGTCCAAAAAAGAAACCTCACTTCCTTAGTGCATGGGCCAAACAGGGCAAACCCAACTTTATGTTTTCCCCGCAAATGGTCCAGCCCCACGAAGCTTAAAGGTCCAGGAACTTAGAACGCGAGACGGTCTTTGTGTTCCAGGGCCATGATCTCTGATCTCTGAGCGCTTGGTAGGTATGCCAAACCTGATTTCCCAACGTGATGGAACACATGGCAATTTTGGCAGCACATACCCCGGGTTTGGACGTGGCCGCTGCTGACCCCTCGGACATGCGTCCCATTTTTCTGCGCGTCCAATGAGGTCCCGTAGGAGTCCTAGACCAAAAACAGGGTACGAATCTTAACCCCGGATGAAGCAGAACCCCGGATCGGTGGATTTTGATTGGGGGGGGTGGCCAATTCCTTTTAGTGGTTGGATTCCTGACTTTTTTAGTGGTTGGATTCATCACTTTTTTAGTGGTTGGATTCAGGCCACTTTTGGAGGGAACACCGGAACACCCCCCTAATGATGGGACGGGTTCTACTTAGATCCTGGATCAACAATACCCAGGAGTGGAGTTTCTGTCTTAGCGGTTCCCAGATTTTGAGACTCACCTCGCCGCGCCTGGCGGTTTCGACCCGCGGCAAGCGCAAGGCGACTGGTCACTTGGGCCCAAAGCGCAAGGCGATGTGTCCAGGTGAGGCGACTCCGTTGGCTGCTTCGCTCCCTGGAAACAATGAGAACATGAGGTGGTTGCGAAATCCATAAAACGCACCACCGTTCAGAAACCCTGGTTTCTGAGTCGATTCCCCTGTAAATACCAACCGACAAATCCGATAATGGTTTCAACCATGGTTTCAAAGTGGTGCGAACGGATTTTGTCCATCCACTGTATTTTCAGTAGTGAAATCGACTCCCCAAGCCCACAAAAAAGCCAAGGGAAAATGAGCGAGTTTCTCAAATTCCGCTTCTTCCATTTGCTTTTTCGCCCCTGAGTGAAAATACACATGTCCAGTGAAATCGATTCCCCTGCAAAACCAACAAGGGAAAATATCAAATAGTCTTAAGCAAATGGAAGGCGGACTTGGGGGTGCTCCCTGTCAGGCAAGTGACGCTAAAGCATCACCCCCAACAAACGACGGCTCTTCTCCATACCAACCGCGAGAGCAGTTTTCTTTAAAAGCAGTCCCTTGAGCATCTCTAGGTTTCCAATGCAGTTTTCTTTAAAAGCAGGTTTCCAACAAGCAAGAACCAAGAAAGAGTAAACCACATATTTACTGGTACCCACAGATCCCCCTCGCTCGCCGATTTTCAACTGGTTCTTTACACCTGGGTTTTGGGCAAGTTTCATAAGAACGGGCCCTCAAAACAGGCGGCCCGACCCCCTTTTTTGGATGGCCTCAAAGAAACGCCAAGTAGATAACCAGCCATTCTGAGGGCCCCCAATTTTTAAGACAAACCCTTTGGTGATACTGTGGATGGACAGAATCCTGCACCACTTTGAAAAGAATGGGAACCCTTGTTTGTTGGTATTTACAGGGGAATCAACATTCCAGGGCTTGTTAGGTGGTGCAGGATTTCGTCCACCTACAGTATCAGCAAAAAACAGGTGCACCCAACATAACTTTGCCGGCATTCGGGATAATTGGCCTGTCCTGTTGCTGGTACCCTGTGGGTGGTTTTCTGAGGGAAGCCACGAGAGGTGTTCTACTTTAAGACAACAGTAACAGCATCCCAGTCCTTGCTACCAATATAGTAGGTAACCAGCAATCCTTACCTGTGGGTAAGACATGATCGCCTGGTTACCTACTATGGTGGGTTTCCGCTTGCCTGGAAGGCACACGTGAGGTCAGAGTCAAAGCATGGTACATGAGTCCAACGATTTTCAGAAGTGGAGAATCAAAAGGGTGAAGCAGTGGCACAGTGGTATGGTTACGACTGCCCCCACCATCCGACTGCATGAGTTGCCGTTATGGTGCTCAAGTTTGGTCCTCACGTTCAAGCTTTGAGGGTTTCCGCCCCAATCCGTGAAAGCCTAAGATCGCGGCAAGAGGCCACAACTCAGTTGCCCAAAGGACGAACTCCTTTTTGGGGGGCAGTGGACCAAACGGCGGTGGAAAGAAAAAGGTCAAACGGTGGATTCGCTTTGGTTGCAAGTCCGGGTTTGGGAATGACCAAGTCGGGGATTTGGGAATGGATCGGATTGTTTATAGGGGTCGTTGCATTTCTCATTCCCTGCCGAGAACCAGTAAGGTTGTCTCAAAATAGGAATCGGAACGGTGTCCTTTCGGTTCCTTTTTAAAGCAAACAGGTACCAACTCCAAAAAGAGACAAGCCACCCACTTGATCAGGGTATCCTCAAACTTGGCTGGGGGTCAAAAACAGGTACCCAACATGGAACCCTGATCCCCTGGTGGTTTCATTTTGACCCATGCCCAAATGTATCTGTATCCTCTAGCGGGGTTGCTCCCTCCCCGCAAATGAAGCCCATCAGGTCGTGAGCGACCATTTTTTGATGGACATCGATCCTTCTCCAGAAGGTCTACTTGGATGTTCCATCAAGTGCCTGGACCCTCAATACTCAAACCACCCTTCAAAAGAGGTTCGTTCCCTTATAATCTTCACCCCATCTTGACCAACGCCTGTTGGGGGTCCCGGGGTTGTGGGGAATCCGGAGACGCCAACACCACCCCCCTGTGAATATACAGGTTGGTTGATTCGCATGGGGTCCACATTACTTGGTTGACGTTGGAAGGGAGCAACAATTTAAATGTTAGCAGTTAAGTGGGGATTTCCCACTAAACCACAATAAGCACAAATGTGAAATGTAGAACCCAACAACAACCATATAATGGTGATACCCTACTAGCTTAAACACCCAAGTGGCCATCCAGTCAGCAAAGCCATCGGTCTAGGCCCACCGCGGCTGCGCCTTCCTCGCTTCGAATCGAAAGCAACGAAGCCGAGGGGAGCGCGGGTGGAACTTGGAGGCATACTGGAGGACATAATTCCCTAGGTCCTCCAGTAGAGAGGTTAGAACAAGGGTACCGACTTGTTTTCGGTAGTTTAATTTTGGTAGGGGAACCCTCCCCCAAAAAAGGGTAACAGGGCACTACTGGGGGACCTAGTTCCATTTCGCGCCACCTAAGAAAACCTGGTTTGTGATGATTCCCCTCCAAATACCAACAAACGTTCTGGTGTCCACCATGGTTTCATTTCGTGCGACATGAATTTCGTCCATCCACAGGGGGTTCCTTTGCAAATGGGTGCTTCCGCGTCCGTGGGTCGTCCCCGTATCCCTAGCCCCGGAGGTCCCTGGAACCGAATCTGAAGGCTGCCCCCAACCCCGGACGAGCCGATTTCTTTTGGCCTATCGACTCCAAGTCAGCTGTTGGGGCAAAAACCTATTTCCAGAACCAGCCTCCCCTAGGCAAAACATACCCTACACAGTGCTTCCACGTCCTAGGTCCTAGTAGGTCACCGGGGGATTACCCATGATTTTTAAAGCCTAGAGGTAGCCATACCGAAGGGTTTCGTACTATAGTGGTTGCGGGCTAGACAAAACACGGTGCTTTCTTTGCAAAGGTACGACAAAGTTTTACGGGTTTTGAAGCCCCAGGTAGTAATAGATTCCACTTCAAGCCAACACAAGGAGCACAACAAACCAACGGAAGGATGCCCCATGTTTCTTTTTCCTTACATCACCAAGGGAAACTCGCACAGGAAACAGGGACTACGAAACGCTGACTTCTGTACAAGGATCCTATTTCGAGAATTCCATATTGTTGTCTTTGTTCTTTTGCAGGGAAGAACAACATCAACCCTCGCATCATGATTGCAAACCATCGAAGGCTGCACGTGTTGGCCCATCCAGCCCTGGATAGTTCACCATTGGTGGTGGCCTTCCTTTGGCGTCCAAAATGGAGTTCCATGGGTTGACAAAATGGACCTGTAGAATCAGCCGTTGATTGGATTTACCATATCACTTGTAATTTTGGTTGGAGCCTGCTTACGAAACTGCCCCCAGGTGCCGACAAAGTTATAGCCATGAGAGTTAGAACCTCTAGGTCCTCCAGTAGAGAGGTTAGACTAAGGGTACCCTTTTCTGTAGTCTATTTTAGTAGGGGAACCGAATCTCCCAACCAAAGAAGAATCGGTGAGAGGTCGGGCACCAATTGCTGGGGGACCTAGACCTACTCACCTGACGTTGACGCTGCTTGACGAATCCAAGTGAAGCAAAGGCCCTTTGAAAAAACAGGGCTCAGCCCCCTGCAAAGAGTGAACCACTTTTTGTGGTCCCAACATCGAAACCCCACAACCAACTTAAAAACAACCGACGACCTAAGGAAACGGATGGCTAAGTTTTACCAAGCTTTTGGGTCCGAAGCTTCTTTTGTTTCGAGGAAATGGGGAATGCAACTCGTGTCAAAAGCTTTGCGCCAGCCTATGCTAAAGCTCAGTCTGGCAATGTGAAGAGCCAGCGGTTTCTGTGATCCATGCCGAAGCTTGTGGTGTCCAGAGCCTCTGTTGGACCAAAAGGAAACATGTGCTTAAAAAAGACATTTTTTTTTGGGAGGATCTTTTTATAATTGGGGGGGGGACCCGTATTTATTAATAGGGGGGTGAGATTGCCAAGTTGAACGATGTTCAAAACTTCCTCCAAGTCCGACCTTCCAAGCTTTTGGTTTCATTGGCAACCATGTCACTAGGTCCTAGGTCAACCTTCTAAAGACTTTGCCTTTTGGGAAAGAAAACGGTCCCTTTGTAAACCTAAATAGGGGTACCCGCAAAAGCGTACACATCGGTCGGTGCAGAATGGGGTACCCCAAGATGGTTGCGTCTTTGGTTTCCTTTCAACACAAACCCATTATGGGCACCATAAAAGAAACACTTCATTTTCTGAGTGGAATGGCAAAAGAACAAGTCGCAAAAAACATTGGATCTACTTAAATGGTCCAAAAAAGCTACTAGCCCAGTGCTTCCAGGCGGTTCGCCACTATAGTAGATAACCAGGAGTTGTTCCACGATGTAAACCGAAGGGTTACCTATGATACTGGTACCTGGAAGCACAGTAAAGCTCAGGAGGTGACTAACTAGGTCCAGTAGCGAGGTAAGGGTACCAACTTTTTTCTGTAGTTTATTTTAGTAACCCTCCCCCAAAAAAGGGTGAGAAAGGGTACTACTGGGGGACCTAGTTCCATCTCCCAACTGAACCCAGAACGGACCATCTGCAAACATTGACCAAACATGGTCATGGTTGCCCTACCAGCAATCCTCACGGTTGTCCAAGTCCCCTAAGGGGTTACTGACCATGCTTACTCACCCCAAGCAAAAGCAGTAGATTCTTCCGATGTCCAACTCTTGGTTGACGTTGGAAGGGGAGCAACAATTTAAATTTTAGCACTCAAGTGGGGATTTCCCACTTAAACCACAATAAGCAAAAATGCAAAATGTTTCCCAACAACAACCATGAACTCAGGTGACAAAAGTCCAGCAACACAATCACACCCACTTCCATCCCTCACCTCCGGGCGCTGGCTCTGACGACTTTGGCTCTGCCGACTTTGGCTCTGCCGACTTTGGCTCCGATCCTTCGTGGCACGGGGGCTCCAAGGACGGCCCCAACCCGAGGAGCAACAAAAACTGACCCTTTTTTGTTTGTTTGCAGCCCGCAGCAAAAAAAAACAAACAAACTAAAGATATCTTAAAACCCGACAGCAGTGAAGAAGCCATGTAAAGAATCAACAAGTTGCCAAACACCATGTAAAGATCAAAAGGGCGCATACCCGCGCCTATTTCCGGTCAGGACTGTCCCTCACCACACCCTAGTATGGCTCAGCTTCAGCCAAGGCAAAATATTAAGGAATCAATTCTTCTGACATGGGGAAGCGTGCAACAAGGAGCTCTGTTCACAATTTCTGCAATAAGAGAACCGGGCCAAGTGAATAGGTCACACCACGGTGGTAAGAATTGGCTTCTGCACCGAGTATCGTTGAATTTGTTTTCCACCAAACACACATAGCCCACATGCGCAAACCTGACAATGAACGCCTTCGCTGAGTAGCCCCTTCCGGACCCAGGACTAAACAGGGATCCTTACATGGTACACCTGAACATTGCCTTGTAAATGGTGGTGTCCTTTTATTTTGGTGGAAAAAACAACATGTTTCAAATGGTTGCAAAATGGAGATCTTTTAAGGAGCCCTGCTTGCTAAAAGCGCTTAACCTTTTAGGGCCATATGTATTTGACGCCTTCCCACAAAGCAGCCGTGGATCGAACCGAACAAACAAACACCGTGGAACAACCTGGAGTCTCCCTGTGACCCTTAAAACATGGGTCAATGACCAACCATTATTTTGGGTAATGACCCCATTTTTGAAGGGTCATGGAGACTCCAGGAAACATCAAACATCGAAGACGTTGTTCCTGAAAAAGTGTTATGTTTGATTCCCTCGATCATGGAATTGTTCAGGAAAAGCCCTCCCGAGTGTGAATGTGTGAGACTCTTGTCCCCTGTGCTTCGAAGTGAAGATTCCCATCCCTACTGTGGATGGACGCAATCCATTTTGCACCACCTAAGAAACCTGGCTTCTGATGACTCCCCTGCAAATACCAGCAACCCATCGTTTCCCATGGTTTCAAAGTGGTGCGAACAGATTTTGTCCATCCACCGTGATGGTCGATTCGTCTGCGGCAAGTCAGCACAAAGTTCCTGGGCTGCCCTCAGATCTCCTGCTAAAAAGTTTAACTTTTAGTTGGTTAAATGGAAACCCATCCACTAAACCAACTAAACATAAGTAAACACCCAAAGAATCGGATGGATGGGAATCGCCAAGAGAACGTGGATGGTTCAATCCAGCAAATGGAAACTTGGAGAATCCCATTCTGCCAGTTCATTCTCGCGGCTCGGGCCCCTTCTCCTTTTCCATACCAACAGACTTCCAGGATTGTCCAAGCTACTTCTATGATATGGCTATGTGTATAAAGACCTTTAAATTTGTACCACCTAGATAAGTGCACGCGAATCTGGGCGAAGTAATTAGCAAAAAACATTGGAACATCCGGGAATCCCTGAAAGAAACCTTGAGCGAGGTAGCCGACTCCCATTGAAGTCACATATATGTCCGCCTTTCGCACAAGAGGTTGTGTTGCAAAGCAAGCCCGCCTTATGGTCAGGTATCACTGGAGCGTTTCAAAACCTTCAGCTCGGTGGGCTCCAACAAAACTACGGCTTTGGAGATCTACACATTTTGGAAAAAAGGGACCCCAGCAAAACGGTTATCTTTTTTGCCTGGTTCGTGGAAAACAAAGGGAACCCCAAAAAGAAAAAAACAAAAAAGCAAAAAGGGGAGCAAAAAGGGGAAGCTGTAGGGACTTGCGACTGGGGATCGTTGCACAGCTCGGCAAAGATATGGGCTTTTCAAAATCCAAATCGGTTAGGCCCCAGACATCCGATTCAATCCAACCACTAAAATAGGAAGCCTAAAATGGGTGGTGAATTCACCGAAAACCCCAACATGGGATCCCAAGACGGTTTTGACAACCACGTCCAAATGGAGACCTGTTTTCTGTGCTGGCAACTCCGGCCCGTTGAGGGCCTCCGGCAAGCAGAGAACTTCTCGCGCCCCGAAATGGCTGGCTTCCCATTAAGTAAAAACTACCGCAAGCTCAGCTGGCCCAACACAAATGACGTGCTTGAGACTGGTCCACATGGGTGTGGCTCAAAGTTTGAGAGCCAGGGTTGTGCAGGTTTTAGCCTTTGTTTACATTTACCAAGGTGCCATTTTAGTATATGTTTTTGAGCCACAGCCACATCTTGTTCTCATGCAAAAAGGCAAGAGACTCTTTTCGGAACGAGTGGATTGGCCATTTTTTCTAACTTTTGAACCCCCCTCGCCCAGACATGGAAGAGTCCAGGATTGGTTTGGAAGAGCTAAGGTTCCATTTACAGCCAACTGGGGGAGCTTTCCTGGGGTAGTATCACACCAAAACGAGCCTTCTCCAAAACCTTGAAGTGCACCTGGAGTCTCCTTCTGACCCTTAAAACATGGTCGGTCAAAACCCCAGAAGAATAATGGGTCATTGATTGACCCTTGTTGAAAGGGTGGGTCATGGAGACTCCAGGAACCCAGAAAGTCGGATTGAACAAATTGAGGGTCTGGGGCCAGACCTAGGGGTAACCACCAACCATTCTTTCCAGGTTTCTAGAAAACCACCCAAAACCCTGGGGAAGTTTACCCAAGTTTTGAAAAGAACGATGGCTGAAAAGAAGGGAAACGGATCGTCAACCCCAGGAAGGCCCCCCTTAAAACCAGCCATTCCCCCCCACCCCCCCCCCACCCCCCATCATCCCCATCATCCCCTTTTTCCAGGTGTCCTCGGATCGAGTCCTGCGACCGGTCAGGATGGGACAGAAACCGGGGATCGCCTTCCCAGAGTCTCCAAATCTGCACCTTTTTCACAAAGGGTCAAGAGCCAAGCATTCTTTTGGGAGTACTGACCAACCACTTTCAGGCTCAGATTCGGAGACTCCAGGCCCCGAAAAGTCGAAACTCTGTGTCTTAGTGGACACTACCACAGAAGCCAAAAAAAAAACGGCTTGGAACCGAGGAAGATAACCATGGTCGATTCGCTCGAGTTGTTCCAGTGGGAGAGTTTGGAATGACCAAACTAAGCCCCGGGCTGGCAAAAAAAACCCTGGAACTTTTAGTTTACCAGTCAAAAAAACGAGACAGTGAATCTGCCACGAAATGGGACAAGTTGCCCATGTATGGTCGTTTGAGTCATAATCAAAACCCGGTCCAAACATGGTGAACCCAGAACCATTCGAAGGGCTTTAAGAAAGCAGCCGCACCTATTTATGGTTGTGATCGTCCCTTACTGTCATCTACCCGGGTTTTGATTGACTCATTCGGGGGCCAGAAATATTGATCAATATGGCTTGTGGGTCCGAAATAAGTACCCAGAACGGAACCATGGTAAATGGAAACATGGAGTCAAACCTCAGGTTGCCTGGCGGTTTAATTTTGACCCATACCCATATTATACACATACTGTGGATAGACAAAATCCTGCACCACTTCGAAAACATGGGAAAACAATGCTTGTCGGTATTTACAGAAGAATCATTCTATGGTTTCGTAGGTGGTGCGAAATGGATTTTGCAACCATCCACAGCAATACAATATATATATATATATGGGTATCTGTGGGTTTCTTAGGTGGTGCATTTCGTCCATCCACAGTATTCTACACATATTTAAACATGCACCAAAGTATCAAACCCATTTCCCCAGGAACCCTGGGTGATTTTCTAGAAAGATTCAGATTTTTGGGAAAGAATGGAAATGGAAGTTACCCCTAGATTATATACACAAAATTCTACACATATCCTCGGGACACGAAGCATTTCCAAAGCGAACACTGGTGTCTCGAGCCCTCAGATTTTTTCAATCGCAGTGAGGGAAGATGAGTCCTGGAATGACCTGAGGCTGGTTAAAAGCAGCAGCTTATTATGGGTTGTTCAGTTGAGGCTCCGCTGCAGTCGCTCATGATGGGGGTCTGCGTTGTCAGCGCCCGCCGAAACGATGCCACGCAACGCTTGAAAGGCTGCGCTTGCTCTAAGCGCGCCCTCTGAAAGGCATTGATGGTAAATGAGGCTGGAGCTGATGAAGACGATGATGCTGCTGATGCATCCTGTGATGATTTTTCAGCCTCCTCCGATGCATCCTTTGATGACTCCTCCTCCTCTGACGATTCCTCCTGCAGCGCCGGCTCCTCTGATGATTCCTTCTCTGATGATTCCTTCTCTGATGATTCCTTCTCTGATGATTCCTCCTCTGATTCCTCCTCCGACAATGGCTGTGATTCCGCGTCCTTTGACAATGAAGCCTCGGATGCCTCTGTCTGTGATGCTACCTCCGACTCTGCTGATTCTTCCTCCAGTGCTGGAGCATTGCTGCTAGTCATGCCTTGAGCCTCAAATGCAACAATAACACCCAAACCTTGACTGCCACATGGTTTTGAGATAACTGCCACATGTCATGAGATGAGCTTTTAGGTGGTGCAGGATTTCGTCCATCCACAGTATTCTACACATATCTAAACATGCACCAAAGTATCAAACTCATTTCCCCAGGAACCCTGGGTGGTTTTCTAGAAAGATTCGGATTCCTGGGTTCAGAATGGAATTGGAAGGTACTAGAGTGTCCAATGGAAATTGCTAATTAAAGTTCCCAAAAAGTTGAAGTTCAAAGATTCAACCACATAGCCATAAAGAATGTAGATTGCTTCGTTGGGTTGCCCCTAGACTATATTTCATCATAAAATCATGATACATGGCTGCGGGTCAAAACCAATGGTTTTCTAGAAAGATTCGGATTTTTGGGAAAGAATGGAAATGGAAATGGAAGTTACCCCATATATTCTACACATATCCTACATATATTCAGAATGGACATGGAAATGGAAGTTACCCCTAGATTTTACCTACCCCTTAAAACTCCAAGCAACCTGGGGAAGTTAATCTTTTACAGACATGTAGCCCATGTTACCCAAAAGTTGAGAACAGTTTTGTGTTTTTAAGAGGTAAGCCTAGACTCAGTTGCCCAAAGGACCTGGAACTAAAAGGTGATCACCTTTTGGGGCCATGATTTAGTCATGGACCAAAATGGGAAAACCAAAAGGTCAGATCCGGTCGATTCGCTTTGAACAACTGAGTTGATCTAAAAACAAATGAGCGGTGCCCAAAACTGGTTCACTTTTGGTTCTGGCTGCGTCTTTCGCAAAAGCTGCTTACCGCCGTATTGTCCTTGAGCAAAACTAGGTCCTCCAGTAGAGAGGTTAAGATAAGGGATAGGAGTAGATGACATCCACAACTTCTACACTCCTCGGGACCCGAAGCGTGGGTTTCGGGCCCTGGGGCCCTCGGGCCGCCGCGCCTGGGCCGGACTTCGTGGAGCCACTGGGCGGCCAAGGTCTCCGTCTCCACGCGGACGTCCAAACTGGGCGGCGGTTAAACCGTCCGGTGCCCCGGATTTGTTTTGTTAATTTTATTCTATTTTATGTTTAAAGATGTTTTTTTTGTTTTTGCTGGTTTTTTAGTTTTTTTTTTTTTTTTTCTTTTGTGAAGGTCTAATAAATAAGTCCGGTATGCCCCAAGAATTGGTTGGAGTCCCTGTTTCGCAAAAAGTTGAAGTCCCTTCAAACAAATAATTTGCACTTTTGCGGGTTCAATGGAGAGTCCTCGGTTTTGGAAAAGAGTCCAAGACCAACGATCAAACCACATGGCTGTGGTTGTCAAAACCATCCACGTGATTCCCATCCAAAAGAGATGCGTCCCAACTAAATCCAGGGAATCCCAGGGCCCTATTGATAAACTGGGGTTGATTAATATGGCTGTGGTGGTCAAAACCGTTCTAGGATCCCATTGTGGGGTTTTCGGTGCACCACTCATTTTAGAACCTGTTTAATGACTATGTCTGACATCCCAAAACAGGATTCAGCAATCAATAAGGTTTCACGAGAATCGGGGACCCCAGAGAAGTGTTCAGAAACCCATCTAGGTTCTCCAGTAGAGAGGTTAGAATAAGTTGGTACCAACTTTTTTCAGGACGTCTATTTTAATAGGGTTGAACCCTCCCCCAACAAATATAACAAACCTCTGTTTAATAAATACTGTGGATGGACGATATCCGTTCGCAGCACCTAAGACACCCTGGGAAACCATCGTTTGCTGGTATTTACTGGGTTTCTCAGGTTGGTGCAGGATTTCGTCCATCCACAGTATGGGCGGGTGCTTTTCCCTGGTTTTAGTGCGGACTTATCACTTTTGGAGGGAAACACCCCCAGAAAGTTGCTTGTCCGAAATTGAGGACAAATCGCTTCGAAACGCGAGGAAAGGAAAGCGCACCTAAGAAGTTGGACAGTTGGGAGCCGTGCATTGGTTTCCACCTGTCCACAAAGGAAACAAGAACCAGCTGTTCGCAGGCGGCGACCCTACAAAACTCGCTCCCGAACGAGTGGGTGGGCCTAAAAAAAAAAGAACTTGTTGATTGCGACTAAAATGGCCCAGCCCCAAAGAAGTGACTCAAGTCCAAGGACGAACTCAAGGAGCTCAAGACTGGGTGCGGGGCATCGCTGGGCACTTTGCGATGCGGAATCTGCTAAACAAATTGAATCCTGGCGTTTCGCCACTACCTGGAGTCTCCAGAGTACCCCCTTTTTTTCAAGGAACCGGGTTCCTCGGTTCCTGGAGTCTCCGGATCTGACCCAAATTAAAAATGGGTCAATGACCAACCATGATTTTGGGAGTAATGACCATCCATTTTTAGTAGGCAACCAGGTGTTTGGATGGAGGGACCAAACCCTCAAGCCCGGAAGAGGGGGGTTCGCTTGAGCACTGAGACAGGCCCGCTTTGGTAGTCAACTTTAAAGGGACACCCTCCGCAAGAAACAAAGGCCATAATAAGCCCAAATGATATCCCCAACACCTGAAGGCTCCCTTTGAACCCTCCCTGAAAGCTGCCCCAAACCACCCGAAAAGCCTGAGACCCCATAGCTTTCAGCTGGGGAGAAAGGAAAAAGGAAGCCACACACTGGGTGTCTGGGGCTTCAGGCTTTGCAAAGCGAAAAGCATTTCGGGACGCAGTGTTCCCAACAATTTCCCTTTGTACCCCAGATTTTTCCGGTTTTGGGCTCAGTTCAGGGAGATTTGTGGACTGACTACAGATTCCTACCAAGAACCCCGCTGATCCACGGTCGTGTTTTTGTTGCTGCTCCAGAAATGGACATGGGCGAAACATCGGCCCCCATGTCTGTGCCCAATAGTTGTCTCAACATCGGGGGACCCTGAAGAGAATGTTGGTTTTCCCTTTCGGTTGCCTTTTTAAACCAACCTGAAAGGTGTACCCTGACAAGGGTAGACGCAAACAAAAAAGGCCAACATGTGTTCACCGAGCTTCATCGCCATTGTCTCGGGGGTTCGCCTGACATCAGTCCACCGCGCCAAGATGAACACAACGCTCCTTTCCCAAATCCCTTGTACATGAAGGAGGGTTCCGGGGGGCCCCCAACGATCGGTCAAACAGATGAATCTAAAGGCCATTGTTTGAGGAACCTGCTTTCGGAGGACCCCATTTCCACCTGGTTGCTGTTGACCTCTCAGAGTTAACCTAGCCAAATCCAGTTCCTCAAGACCGAAGGAAGACTGCATCTTAGGTCGGAAGGAAATCCACCTAAACACCCTGATTCAGTCCCGCACTTAAAGTACCAACACACACACACACAAGTTGTCGCTGTGCTTTTTTATTTGGCCACCCCCAAACTCCCTAACGGTCGCGGACTCAGTGCCCAGAGACCCGGATTCGTTCGTTCGTTCCTGCACGTTTTGGCTGATTTGCCCTGTCGTGACGGCCCAGCTTCGCTGAACTTTCAGCCCACGTAAGATCTTGTGACTAGTGTATGTTTCGAGACGCAGTACCCTTGAGTTAAGGTTGCCTTGAAGACCAGATGTTTCTTCATAGGGTCCAGATCCATCACATACCCACTGCTTCCAGGCGTTTTGTCACCAGTTGGTAACCTTTCGGCTTCCTCACCTTCAGATATTACCATGGATGGGTTCCCCGGGTTAGTCCTACTATACCTGGAGTCTCCTTCTGACCCTGCAAAAATGGTTGGTCATTCCTCCCAAAATCATGGTTGGTCATTGACCCATTTGTATTTGGGATCAGACGGAGACTCCAGGTAGTTTCGAAATGCCCGGACGCACTGGAGGATTTGAGGTTTCAGCCGATTCCGCATCGCAAAATGCCCAGTGATGCCCCCACCCAGCTTCTTCCCCTGGTAAGTCTTACTATGCCCCGTGTCGCCTTAAAGCACTGTTTTTTAACCAAATCTCATGGGGTCAGAGTGACCCATTTCTACAGGGTCAGAAGGACACTCCAGGTACATATCTAAATATATAGGCAGCCCTTTCTTCAAGGACCCTGGCTTCTTCCCCTGACCAGCCTTACTCGCCTGGAAGCACTGGGCTACGTTTCTCCGACTCCCATCGCAGGATCCCAGGCTGCCCGGCGCGTGGGAATCTTCGCCATCCGCCTGCACCGTCCACCTGGCAACGGCTTGGCCGGCGCCGTCCCATCGCATCAGTCGATCGGTGGGCCTTGCCCGGCACCGTCTCTTTCGTGGGAGGAGGGAATCTATGGGTGTGAAAATGTTCATGGAAGGAGGGAATACATGGGGGTGTGAAAATGTTCATGGAAGGAGGGAATACATGGGGGTGTGAAAATGTTCATGGAAGGAGGGAATACATGGGGGTGTGAACATTTTCATGGAAGGAGGGAATACATGGGGGTGTGAACATTTTCATGGAAGGAGGGAATACATGGGGGTGTGAACATTTTCATGGAAGGAGGGAATACATGGGGGTGTGAACATTTTCATGGAAGGAGGGAATACATGGGGGTGTGGGACCCAAACTGGTGGACATCAATTTACTTGGGGATTTATGTCTACCAGCCACTTTGAAGGGATTCCTATTTAAACTCATTGGCATATAATGTTGACCCCGGATTAATAAACCCCTGTTTATTGATATGGGGGTGTCGCTGGTTTTAGTGGGGATTCATCACTTTTGGAGGGGAAGACCCCCACAAAACAGGGGTTTATTCATCCGGGGTCAACGTTATTTTGCAGAGGTTTCGCACCCCGAGGCCTTCTAGACAAAGTAACATATGTCCCAGGTTGTAGGTCGAAACTCGCGTAAGTCGGCAGCGAAATTAAAGGCCGCGCATCGCCAGGCTAGAAGCAACCGAAACGACGTCAGCTTGCATAGGTGACCGCGAAATAAGTCCACAAAGCGTTCACACGGCCGCAGGTGGCTTAACATATTCATGGCGGTTGCCTGCCAGCAGCAACGTGGGCTGTTTACTGTTTCACACTCTTGGGTTGCTTCCCTTTGAAAACCAAGAAAGAACGTGTCCTTATTTTCCGCGGCCGCAGGTGGGAGAATAACAAACTGCCTTCCCTTCTGAACTAACACACGGCCCCACCTGTTTGCTGGGACTATCCTTAACCTTGATGTACCCAGAGCTTTTATTGTGAGTCATGTGGGTATGTGAGTGTGTCTTTCTTAGTCCTTTCCGTTTTCCTTTAAACCACCATCAAAACAGGGGTAATTAACCTCAAAGAAGTCGAGCCAGGCAGGTTCTGGTCTTGCGGGCGCCCTTTTCGGGGAAGCCAACCAAAGGCTGTTGTTTGGTTTCTTGGACCTTTGAGGATCCTTTAAGGACTCGCCTTCGCTTTTGGGAGCTTGCCGTATTCGAATCTAATACATTACGAAGCCTTGTGTTAGCTCAGGTGTCTCGGGAACTTCCATTTGCTTCTTCGCCCCGTGGGAAAAAAAGAAGAAGAGAAAACACATATGTCCAGTAGTTACAGATTCAACCTTTCAAACCAACAAGGGACACTCACGCCATATTCATCTCAGCAAATGGAGGGGAGTTGTCTAAGCGTAGAAGCACATACCCTTTGCTCATACCCCTTGGTTCCCCTGGTTTCCAACCCACTTTATAAGGGGTATATACTCCTGGTGGTGGAGAGGGGTATGAACATCAGGCCTTTTGGGTTCATTTGCCCAAGGGCTATGCAATCGCAGCTTTTGATTCATAAATCCTCCCACAATTGAATATGTTTTCGGGGATCCCACATGCAAGGGGTGTGTACAAGCTGTCTCGGGGACCTTGAACTCGAGAAGTCGCCTCCACTTCTCGTCGTCGTCCTGCTCACACGCCAGGAGCGTCTGCGCGGGCTGGTGGCACCACGTTGCCTGCGAGGCGACGCTTGAAGGGGGGAGAAGAAATAAACGCATCGCATAGCTGAAGTTTGGCCCAAAGACAGCAAACAAATTGCAGCCAAGTAAAATCCGCACCATTTGACAAAGCGTCCTCCAAAAAGGTCATGCAACCCAGGTGGACAAAATGGGGCAAACGGTATGGGCTTGCAAAACACTCCCCCTACTAAACATGAACAGAACCCAAAACCTAATAACATGCCAACAACAACACGGGGATCCTTTCTGGCCAACATCCCCGATGACGAGCAGGGGCACCCCTTTTCTCCTTTCAAATACTCCGCCAGAAGGAAAGACAAGCAAAGGACATCAGCATATCGCAAGCACAAACGTTGGGAATTCAAGCTCCTTCATTGAAATGATCCTTGAATTGTGTGCTTTTTTGATGAAACTATTTGATTATTTGATGAAACTTTTGAATTGTGTGCTTTTGATTTGATTTGAAGTCGGTTGATGAAACTATTTGGGGCAGTACGCTCCCTCCAAACCACCAACTCGGGGTTTCCAAGGCCTTGAGTGCTGGCAACGGGTTGGCCTGTTGAGACCACGAAGAATGTGGCCGTGGTGGTCAAAACCGTTTTGGGATCCCATGTTGGGGTTTTCGGTGCACCACCCATTTTAGGTTTCCTATTTTAGTGGTTGGATTGAATCGGATGTTCACTGGGGGCTAACCGATTCGGGTTTTGACCCACAGCCATGTCACCATCAAAAAAGACGGGCGAGAAGGTCGATTCCCCGCGCGGAACAAAAGTGTTGAGACGCTCCTCCCACTTTGCTCTGCGAGGCGTGTCAAAACTAGGGACCTCATTTGGGACCATGCCCCTGGCAAAAAGCACAAACACCAAACAACCTCCAAACAAACGGGACGTTTATGAAGAGAACCAACCCTCAATTCGGCCCCTTTGCAAAAGGCACTCATTGGCATTTGTCTGAAAGGGACCCCTTCCTGGGAAACCAACGCATCACCAAGCATCACCTTTTCTAACTGGTGCTGCTACTTGATGCCTGCGTGGCATGTTCAAAGACACCAGGGAATGTTGACCCCGGATGAATAAACCACCAAAAGGGGACACCCCCTGAGCAATATCAACCAGGGGTTCTACAAAGATCCGGGGTGAGCATTAGCCCTGGTGGTGACCCTGATGCACTTTGTATACCTCTGCAAACTTCAACCCGACAAAGCTTGAACGTAAAAATGATGGAAACCTTCAAAGGCAAAAAGTAAAACAGGTAAACCAAGTGCTTCCAGTCACCACTCTTGTAGGTAACCAGGGGTTCTTGTCTCTTGGCTAACGATGGATGCTATAGTGGCGAAACGCCTTGAAGCACTGGCGAAATCTGGCAATGTGCCCATTGAAGTCTCAACATGCTCCCAGTCTTCCATTTGCTTGATACTTATGTCCGTTTGAACAAATCAAACATATTTCCATTAGTGATAGATTCAACCTTTCAAACCAACAGGGGAAATAAACAAATATTATCAAGCAAATAAAAGGGGAGTTGTCTAAGCGTGGAAGCACATACCCCTTGCTCATACCCCTTTGTTTTCCTGGTTTTTAGGTCACTTTATAAGGGGTATATACTCCTGTTGGTGGACAGGAGTATGAACATCAGGCCTTTGGGGTTCATTTGCCCAAGGGCTATGTAGTCGCAGCCGTTGATTCATAAATCCTCCCACAATTCCAGAAAGTTTTTCGGGGATCCCAAATGGAAGGGGTATATGGGGAATAAGCAAATGGAAGCCAATGGAAGCATTCATCAGGCCTTTTGGGTTCATGTGCCTCAGGGCTATGTAAAAGGGCCCTTTGAGGTCCTCCAGTAGAGAGATTAGAAAAAGGGCACCAACTTTTTTTCTGTAGACTATTTTAGTAGGGGAACCCTCCCCCAAGAAAGAAACGGTAAAAGGGCACTGGGGGACCTAGATGACCAGTTTCCCATAGAACCAATTGGAGAGAAGAAGCCGTCAGCAAACAAGCCAAGGCGGTCAAACCAGCCAAGGGAGCGGGCAGCCACGTAAGATTGTCTTGACTACACCACATCAGCTTCAAATGGAAGCAATGGGAACCCATTTACCATGGTGGTAAGTCAAGTCCCCTATAACCAGGATTATTAGCCATTTGTCTAGGGGTTGATTCCCCATTCTTTTCAGCCATCGAAGCAAATGGAAGCGAATGGATCGCTTCATCTCACCTGTCGCGCCAGGGCGTGGGCCGCGATCTGCACGGACAGCTCCTTGCCGCCGAAACCAAGTGGAGCCAATCCCGACCGGACTTGGGCGGTATTGAAACAGTACATGTGTATATACCTCTACATAGACATGAGCAATATAATATATATATATATATACGTATCATATATTTATATATGAGCTATACATATATATATATATATAGCTATATATATAAATGTATATAGCTACATATATGACCATATATATATATATATACATAAAGCATATATATATATATATATATGTATTTGTATTCATGTATGTATTTGACCCCTTCTCACCAGCACCGTGGTTCGAAGCGTGCTTCGAAGCGTGGAGCACCCATCCAGGTTATGTGGATGGATAAGGAGAAGCCCTCCCTAGTGCGTATTTCCCTTCCTTTTTTACGAAGCGGAGATTTCAATCCCTGTGGATGGACAAACTCCATTTCGCACCATGTACACCCTGGAATGATGGTTCCCCTGTAAATACCAACAATCAACGGTTTCAACCATAATTGTGGTGCAGGATTTTGTGCATCCCCGGCATGACTACTTTCGTATCAACAAACATGAACCACAAAGTTTCAACCAAAAACGATATTAAAGTCCAAAGATCCAAAGAGCCTTAAAGTATCTACAATGATGCCAGGTACGGTTTGCAAGGGGAATTGCTATGGAAGGCTTGTATGGGCTGCGCCTGAACATTGAACCAGCGACATGCTAGTTTGCGTGTGAGACACACCCACACTGGCAAGGGCAGCTTGCAAATCAAGTGGGTGGCTCGTCTCCTTTTTTCTGAGTTGGTACCTCTTTCTGTGGGTTTTAAAGGGAAAGCAAAAGGACACCCGTTGCGCCATTTTGGGGGTTCCCATCCTATGTTGAGACAACCTTGCTGGTTCTCAGCAGGGAATGAGCAATGGAATGAGCCCGACAAAACAAAAAAAACACAAAACCTACCCATGGTTTTTCCTTGCAAAAATCCAACCAAAACCGGTTCATTCCCACCCGTCGACTTTTCCGGAAACCTGAACCCATGGGCCAGATCCCTCTTTCGTTTTGCCACATGGCCCGCTCACTCGGAGTTCTTCACAGAAACGGGTGTCGCTTTTTGTTGGGCGGTTCAGCTTGTTGAGAGTAGGTTATAAAATGAAACCACAGGAAACACACCGTGCATGGGTGTCTTTTGTTGAGATGGATCCCTTTTTGGGATTCTAGGTTATAAAAAGAAACCGTAGAACAATCTAGCTTCCCCATTCTTTCCAGGGATCCTTCTTTCAAGAACAGCACCAAAAACCCTGGGATGGCTGATTTTTGAAAAGGATGGCTGAAAAGAATGGACACGAACTCAACCCCTAGAAGAAAGTCATTTTGACACCTGCACAACATACTCGCTTGAAGGGACTTTTCCCTTGGTGGAAACGAAATCAACCAGTAGAAACAAATCCATCCAAAGGTCGATCTCACCCCGCCCCAAAAAAAAGAAGAAGTAGAAGGGCACTACTGGGACCTAACAAAAGGTCGATCTCACCAGCGCTCGAAACACCACTCCGTGCGTCCTCCTCCCGCTTCAGCGCCTCCTGCTCGCGGCGCTCTGCGCCAGCGGCCACCTGCGCGTTCCGAAAAAGAAAAGAAAGAAAAAACAGGGCCACCATTTTTCCATTTACCAAAAACCTAAAAAGGCCCTGTTTTTCTCTTTGTCCATTTCCCAGGGCCATCTATTTTTCCAAAAGGCCACCTACTGTGGATGGCTGCGAAATCCACCATTATTTTTTGGGCATTTAGGGAAAACGTATCATTCACGGGTTTTTAGATGATGCAGGATTACGTATCCACCGTACGAAAATACCCGGAGTCTCCTTCTGACCCTTAAAAAATGGTTGGTCATTACTCAAAACCATGGTTGGACATTGACCCAGTTTTATTTCGGGTCAGAAGGAAACTCCAGGTATATTATGCATGTGCAATGCAGGTACGTGCGTATGCATGTATGCATGGCTGAAAATTGGTTGGTGTGACTCATGATGAATGCAATGTAATGTTGTGTATGGCATATGCGGCATTGTTATGGTCCTGGTGGTGTGACCTGTCGTGGCGTGGCGGTTGCGCGGCGTATGGTATGGTACGGTACGGTACGGTACGGTATGGTACGGTACGGTATTGTATGGTATGGTATATCCACGAACACCTGGACACCTCCGGCCAGCATTCAAAACACACGCTTGTTCTTACCAAACAGTCTGCTCTGCCATACAAGTACATATGTATTTATGATGTATACATATGCATATCCACGACAAAACTGTTGCCCAGGGTCCCTGGTAGAAAATGAATCGGGGCTGTCTGTTTTGAGGGAACCCTTGATGGACCAATCTTTGGTGTCCAATGGGACCCTCGTCGGAGTTGATTTTGAGCGGTGAGCCCACAAACAAACCTGGGTCCGCCAAAGGACCCCTTTTTCTGCCTTTCACCTACAAAAGAGGTACAAGGCAAACAAATGGGGTCGAGTGGGGGTCCAAGGATGCAATGCAGTGAGCAAATGGATTCTCAAAACTGTGGTCCCCCAAAAAGCTTGCCAACCAGAAGTGGTCCACATTTTGAGAAACCAATGGGGTTAATCACTTCCTGACCAAAACGCCGATCGGAACGATACAAAAGGTCTTAGCCCTTTGCGTCGATTGAACACCCAAGTAGCTCCCCTTTCCGCACCAAAGCAGGGCAATCGGAAGTGTCCTTTAGTTGCTCACTTTCTGAGTGGGTCGGATCAATAAAGTCCAAACTGTTTAAGTCCTGCTAACGGAACTCAGGAGGTGAGGTTGGGCTAAAACCCCTTCCGAAGCTAGCAAGTGGTTGGCGACTTGGGGTATAACCCCTTCATGACAACCCCGCTGAACGGGGGCTTGTAAGTGGGTTGTAACCTATCCCAGTGCTTCCCTAAAGTAGCCCACCAGGATTTCTGACCTCTGGCTTTTACATCACTGGGTATGTACCAACAACTTACGACCCCGGCAGCGAAGACAGCAGACATCCTCAGTTGCCCAAAGGACCTGGAACTAGAAGGTGATCACCTTTTGGGGCCATGACTAAATATGGACCAAAATGGGAAAACCAAAAGGTCAGATCCGGTCGATTCGCTTTGAACAACTGAGCATCTGGATGCCGAGACGAGACCTCTCTCGCCTCCTCCTGCATGCGGAAGCGCTCTTCGAGGGTGGTGTACGCCGCTTGGACCCGCGACAGCTTCGCGATGACCTGGCCAAGGGCGGGGGAACAAACGTACTCATTGAAACACCGGAAAAAAAGAAAAAAAAAAGCAAGACACAACAAACATCGTGTGTGAAAACCTGGAAGGAACAAACAAAAACAAAGTTTGATGGGCGTTTTTGGTTGGCTGCCATTGAACAATGCGACTTGATTCATCTGGGCAAAAAGGGGGGGGGCTTCAAAACCCACCTATTGGAAGGAAGCTGATCAACAGGTGTGGGTTTGTCTAGGGACTTGAACCCACAAAATGGATGGCTTCCTTCAAACCAACCCAAGTGTAACTCGTGAAACAAGTCCGAGCCACCCATGTGGGGTGACCACCAAGAAACGATTTCAGCAAATCATAACATCGGAACATGCTTTTTGCATATTTGGGGGGGGGCCAGGCATTTTGATCATGCCCCATGTGCTTCTGCACGGTGTTCCCAAAAGAACTCAGAGCACCGGCGCCGAAAGGAAAAGCTGGCTGCAAAACCCAGCGGAAATGGCTGTGGGTCAAAAATAGGTACCCAAAATTGTGTTTCAAGTTGCTTCGTTGCCATAGAAGAATGCGCAATTTCTCACTTCCCGAGTTTCGGGACTTTCCGTCACTTGGTTGGCACCATGTTGAACCGCCCTTTAGGAACGAGATGCGGCCTCGCAACGAATCCAGTCTGCATATCTGGCGAGTTGATCATAGATCCTTTGCTTTGGGGATCGCTTACTTGGGTATGGGTCAAAATGAAACCACCAGGAGACCACAGGTTTTAGCCATTGTTTCCATTTACCAGGGCTTGACTCATTCTGCTCCCAAGGCGCGTTCACGATATTCGGCCCAAAAGTGCGAAAAAGACGGGCTTCGCCTCATGCCCAGTGCTTCTAGCTACACTTATAGTAGGTAACCAGGGGAAACCACCATGTAAAACCTAGGTCTAAAGAGGTTAGAATAAGAGAACCAACATTTTTCTGTAGCCTATTTTAGTAGGGGAACCGAATCTCCCAACCAAAAAAGGGGTGAGAAAGGGCACCTATTGCTGGGGGACCTAGAAACCCAGACGACTAATCCAAGTCTGGCGCCTTGAACTGGGCGGTCACCGCCTGCTCCTTCATCTCACGCTCCGCCCTCGAACGCGGAAAAAACGGGTGGAGGCTGGGTTGAAACAAAAGAAGTTCCCCACCAGCCCCTGACTCGTCAGGGACCCCTGGAGTGAAAAACATTCTCTACCTGGAGTCTCCTTCTGACCCTTAAAAAAAGTGGCGTCACCCAACATGGGGTCATGGCATGGACCCATTTTTTTTAATTTCGGGTCAGAAGGAGACTCCAGGTACATGCTTTACCCAAATGCCCACCAGAGTTCCCAAAGCTAAGAGGCACATGGATCGATCAGTTCCTGGGGTTTCACCCCGGATCCATGTTCCACCCTCCGCCTTCATTTCAGGAACTTGAACCAACCATTGAGCAGCGCCCTTTTTTTTGAGGTTCTACCACTCTAAGGGGTGGCTTGACTGCAATCCCGGAGGAAAAAAAAAACTGAACCACCTACTAAAACGGCCAATAGAGTGTTTTCGGGTGCTGCTCAATGGGAAGGAGGCAACTTGTACCAACTCAAGGAGGCGCCATGGCTGAATGTTCGGGACTCTGGGGTTCTTCCCCTTACGATGCTTCTAATCTAAGCTGGTTGCATAAGCCAGCCATGACCACCATGGTCCAGCCTCAAAAAGTGACTTGAGTTCCCAACCCTATGGGTCTTCAGGGCACCTTCTTGCGGTGTGACGTGATGTCTGTGATGCGGTGTGGTGTGATAAGATCTGGCGTGACGTGACGTGAGGTGTGATGTCATGTGGTGTGCTGTAGGGTGCTGTGGTGTGATGTTGTGTTGTGATGTGCTTTGCCGCGTTTTGATGTGCTTTGCTGTGATGCGATGTGCTTCGTTGTGATGTGGGAAACAATGGTGTGACGGTGTGTTGCACTGTGATGTGATGGGGCGTGAATAACAATCAAATTGCACGCACTCACGCCATTTGCAAACATTCAAGGCTGTCCTCCACTACCCTTATGGCGGAACTGGCAGCTTGAATGCAAAACATATGCCAACTATCAAGCAGGGCGCGTCTCCTAGGTCATCGACATTCGTAAATGGAATTCCCGGGATGGAGTGCAAACCCCAGACCCCCAGACCAAACCTTAGTTGGAACGGATCCAGAAGCTTAGAAAGGTACCTTTCGAAACACGGCAAACAAACATATCACCAAGCCGTTTGTGGTACCTGACCCAGTGCTTCCAGGCGTTTCGCCACAAAAAGATAGGTGTCCAGGTGAAGGTACCCACCATCTGCCTGGACCCTCAAGGGAAGACACCCCATGTTGTTGGGGCAATGTGGCAACTGGGATCTGGGGCAATGGAAAATCCACAAAGTGTCCGAAAAGGTTGAAGACCAAAGATAATGTAGAGAGAAGGATCCCTGGAAAGAATGGAAATGGACGGAACCTGTAGAAACATAACCACCGAAACGTTGACCTAAGGATGGTCATCCAAATTAGGTCCCCTTGGGCCATTATTTTGGGGCAAGGAACCCGACACCGCACAGGACGTGGTGTTGCGTGGATCCAGTTCCCCCAATTGGTGAAGGGAAGCTACCAGGCAATGGAACCAAGGACTTGACTTCACTTCACTCCTACGAAAACACCCTTGACCCTAAACCCTAAACCCTACCTGGATCCCCAGTTGCCGTTATTTTCCAGCTACTTTTGCCAAATTCTGGGCTACTAGTGGGTAAAGTGGCTGGCAAAAAGTGGCTACTTGGCTGAGTCCTCCAGTAGAGAGGATAGACTAAGAGAACCAACTTTGTTCTGTAATCTATTGTAGGGGAACCGAATCTCCCAACCAAAAAAGAATCGGTGAGAGGTCGGGCACCAATTGCTGGGGGACCTAGTTGGGGATCCAGGGCTTTCCGGCTACTTTTGCCAAATTATAGGCTACGAACGAATAACAACCACTGAACAAAGTGACTATACTTTAAAAATAAAAATCAAATAGTCAAATAAACAAATACAAAACCATGCCACATGGGTTATCTGAAAAAAATAGAATATGACTTAAGAATGAATAAAAAGTGACTTAAGAATGAATAAAAAGTGACTTAAAAAGGAAGAAAAAGGAAGAAAGTGACTTAAAAATCCAAAACCCGACCTCTGGGCCCCGGGGCTCCGCGGCTCGCTGCTGCGCGCTCTGCGCCGCCGCCTGCGCCGCCTGCGCCGCCGCCTCCGCCGCCTCCTGGGGAGCGAAGACGCGAGGGGGGGGGGGGGTGGAGGAGGTTTCCCGCAAAACGGGCTTCTTTAAGGACCGAACAAGATCTAGATCGATTTTTTTGGGGGGAGACTTTGAAGCCAAATTGAGTCATGATCATGGACAAGTATCGGTTGTTGGTTGGCCCTTTACTAAGAAATGACGGACATCTATATGCTTGAAGAGCCAGAAACCAAGTACAGCATACCATGTAAGAAGGAAAGTTTAAATTTGATTTGACAAGCTTGTCAGGTTGTTGAACTCAGAACAATTAAACGTGGCGCGCAATAACATGTGCGTGTGTGATTTTCACACCTTGATCTCAAGTTTAAAATGATGGGAGCAAAGCAATTCCGAGTGCTAAGGCTGAAATTTCTAAAGTTCAAGCTTTTGTTGACACCTTTACTCAATTCCTCAGTGGATGGGCCAAACAGAGTCCCAACTTCTCGTTTGCCACTCAATGGTCCAGCCCCAAAAAAGTGACTCAAGTCCAGGGAACTCTCTGGGAGTGAGCCCCTTCTCGCGTACGAATATTGGTCAGTCGCACGGTGGCCCTTGTCCGGGCTTCTCAAGGCCACTAGGGCTTACCAATTTATGATTTCCCTGTACAACTCACTGGTTGAGTGGATGGCCCCGAAACAGTCCAAACTTTAAATTTACCACTAAAGTGGTCTTCCCAAAAAGTTTAAAGGTCATGAACTCAGGAAGTGAGACAAACCACCATGAAAAAGCAGACCCACTTTCTTCGGGACATTGGCACATGGTTGTTTTCGAACTTTTATTTGTTTGCCTTTTCTGAAAGGCACATTGGAACGTGGTTGTTTTGTGTTCTCGCCAATCCAAAGCAGACTATCAACAGCATCCTCTCTGACTCGCGTGAAGCGGACAAAGATAATTCTAGCATCAAGGTGCACACATTAGATGCATGCGGGGTTCCACCCTTACACCTGGGTGTGGGTCAAGAATAGGCTAGCCCCATGGGTTGCCCTGACAAATGGACACAAGTTGACTCACATCAGATGGGACGATGGGCTTGGGGGCGAGGCAGGACTTCTGAAGCTCGGTTTCTTCCACAGGATCCAAGTCCGTGAAATTCATGATGGACGTGAGGATACTCAACGCCCGCGGGAGAGCGACCTCTGGAGGTCGCGAGGGATGCAAACAGTATTGACATCCGGCTGTGCGAAAACCGTCCCGACCTCCAAGTTCTTTTCCGAGAAACGCGGCAGGCATGCCCTCTCTTGCACGTTCGTGAGATTTGACAGCAGCTTGGCCACATCCAGAGCTTTCTTTTTGCACAAGGTTTTCCTCCGGGAGACCGCCAGTTTCATCATCTTGCTCTGTGCAGATCGGCGGCTGAAAACAAGAAGAGCCAAGTTGGTCCCAGGGCTTTTGACTCCTGGTGGGTCAAAAATAGGCTAGCCCCAAATGGGTTGCCCTGGTGCATGGAACCAAGCTGACTCACATGGCCATGGGTCAAAAGCCCGTACCCCCAGTGAACATCCCAATCCCCACTAAAGTAGACAAAAATGGTTGGTGCACCTACCCGAAAATGGTACCATTGGTGTTGACCCCCGGCCAAACGGGTTGCCCTGGAAAATGGAAACAAGTGGATTCACATCGGTCGAATTCCTGGCTTCACCCTTCGGCTCCTTGGCGGCTTGCTCCTGGCGGGCGGGGAGTTCCACTGCCCTACCTACGGTTCAAACCAGGGATTTACTCGCGTCCCGTGTGGATGGTTCCAAAAAAAGGTCTGAACCGTTTCTAGGCTGTCCAGATTTGAGAGGTTACAACAAGGGGACCAACTTCTTGTCGGTAGTCTGTTTCAGTAGGGGAGCCCTCCCCAAAAAAAGGGTAAAAGGGCACTACTGGGAGACCTAGGTTTGTTGGCCACCAAAATGGTCTTCGACAAAAGCACTCAAAGATTCGTTGATATACCCAGAGGGTTTCTTGGTACCCCATATCTTTCCGGCTTTGGGTTTAGTTCAAGGATTTGTGACTTGCAGGTTACTCACATCCGCGAGACAGTACGAAGAACCAACAAACCCTTTGGTTGATAGAGTCAGTCTCCCATGAAAGAGAGCTATTTTCAAAACGGGGGCTGTCCTTATTGAAGACATCTTTTGCGGAAAAAAAGGGAGAGAATCTACCCACACTTTTCTCCCGACCGCTGGAAGCTTTGGGGTCTCTTCCGAAGATCCGGAATGGTGAACGGCAGCTTTCAGAAAGGGGCAGCCCCTCCCGAAACATAGCAGACACCCTAAATGGAACTCCGTGGTTTTGCCTCCTGCAAAGGAATTCCAAGTGGTGCCGGAGGAGATGGGAAATGAAGACCAGGGGCAAACAAAAACGGAAGATTGTCCAAGTCTAGCAAAGAAAAGGGCCGTCGAACCAACACTAAATCGTAATGGGGTACTTTGACCGGGGCAGAAGTACCCCCGACTCTAACTACTCCTTTGTAGTTGGTACTTTTTGTGAACACCTGGTTTTCCGGGTAAATACTGATCCCTTCTCTCCCTTCCTGAGTGGTTTGGCCAGCAAAAAGTCCAACACTTTTCACTTACCTCTAAAAATTGACTTCCCAAAAAGTGACTAAAGTCCGAAACGAACTCGGGAAGTAGGTTCTTTAGTCGGAATGACTTCCATTGAGGGATCCCTAGGCTCTTTCCCAAGAGGGTCATTCCCTACCGAGAACCAGCAAGATTCAGGAACCGCCAACTTACTTGGCAAATGGACCCAAGCAAAACTGTGGATACCTGGAGTCTCCATGACCCTTAAACAATGGTTGGTCATCACCCAAACAATGGGGTCATTGACCCATTTTTAAAGGGTCATGGAGACTGCCTGGAGTCTCCACGACCCTTCAAAAAAAAATGGCCCCATTCTTTTGGGGAATGACCCCATTTTTAAGGGTCAGAAGGAGACTCCAGGTACCTGTTTTTGGTGGCTTGTTGCCCAATAAAAGGAAAACGGCCCAAATCGACCCAAACGAAACTGTTGGTACCTCCTTTTTTTGGTGGCTTTACCCGAAAACAGGAAAACACCCAAGTGGGGTTCCGGAACTTCCATTTGGTTCAGACCCCCGGAAAAAGAACAACAACTATGCCCAATAGTGACAACTTCCTTGTTAAGCCAACAGGGGAAAATAACCCACATATTCATTTCAGCAAATGGAAGGGACGCCTCCGACGCCCCGACTCCGACGACACTCCGACCGACGCCTCGTCGGCCTTCTGCTGCAGCGCCTGGCGCTCCTCCTCGGAGAGCTGATGGCCCTTGGCGTCCTCGGCGGTTGGGACAAGGGGGTGGAGGAACGTTGTATCCAAGGAACGGGTGCGAAATCGCTATAGGAATGTTCCAATGACTGGTTCCTTGGAACGGGTATTAGAAATACTCCAATGGAACTAGGTCCTCCAGATTTGACAGGTTAGAATAAGGGCTTTTTTCAGTCGCTGTTGCTGGGTTTGGGGGTAAAGTGCATGGAAGAAAACAGCAACTGGCTGTATCCAGGTGGTTCCTTGGAACGGATGCATCCGGTCTCGGACTGACTTGGTTGACGATGGGGGAGCAAACAGTTTTCAATTTTAGCAGTTAAGTGGTACAATTTTTCAATTTTTCATGTTTTTTCATTTTTTTTCAATTTTTCAGGGGATTTCAGCCACACGGGGGTTGCGGGACTGGTATCAGTGGACTTGGCCTGGACTTGGATCCCTTCTCAAGGCCAGCAGCACAGCGGTGACCAAACCCGAAGGACTTTTGGCTCTACCAACATGGGCACTCCTTGGAATGGGTGCGAAATGTTCCAATGGGACGAACCCAGGCTTCGGTCCAGAAGGGGAGCCAACGAAACCAGCTGGATTTACTTGCTGGGCCCTCCAGTGGAGAGGGGTTAGAAGTTGGTACCAACTTTTATGGACGTCTATTTGAGTAGGGGAGCCCTCCCCCAAGGGGAGAGGGGCCTAGGGAAGGAACCCAGGCTTTGGTCCAGGGGGATCCTGAAAAACGAAGCCAGCAGTTGGATTTACTTCAGGACTGTTTGTGGAAAACCGGCGGGGGTGTCCATTTTCAGGAGTACCCAACATGGATTTCGGGGTGGTTCCTGTGGGTGTTTCCTTGCCAGCCACTTCGGTGTTCCCTTCCGTTTCCTGCCGAGATCGAACGATTGAACCCAAGGCGCCAGTTCCTCCCGCGCCGCCTGCGCCGCCTCCGCCGCGCGCTGCGCCGCTGCCAGCGCGTCGCGCTCGGCGTCCGCGGCCGTCTGCCGGGCCTCTACCTGGCGAGCGAGCGGGGGGCCGGGGGGAGGGCTTGGTTGACGTTGGAAGCAAACAGTTTTTCATTTTTAGCAGTTAAGTGGATTTCGATTTCAACCACTAAGCCACAATAAGCAAAAATGTAAAATGTTTCCCAACAACAACCTTGGGGGGGTGGGGGGTGGGGCTGTGCTTGATGAAGGATGATTTTCGGTGTGTCACCTCACCCACGCCCAAAGGACCTGGAAATGAATGGATTTTCAAAGGAATTGGAAGTTCAACTAAAAGTGATGGCCCAAAGGGAAACCACAAGGCAGTGAGCTCGACGCACGACGCTTGCTTGAGTGAGTGTCTCAAAATGGACTGTGGACCCCATGGCGTTCAATTGAAGTTTTCTTAGTTTATTCTTAACTTCTATATTACTTATTTCTTACCATAATCTTTACTATTAACCATTGGCTTTCTGGAGGTTCCTTTGAAAATTTGATCCCGTCTCCAAGAAACCCTCCGAAACCCCGGGTCCAGGTGCGTGGCGGTACTTGGATCGCAGGATTTGAGGTCTTGATCCACTTTCTGGGGTGCGAGGTACTTCAGGGGTGGGGGTTGGGGTGGAGGGGTGGAGGGGTGGAGGGGTGGGGTCGGGTGGGGGGTTGAAAGGTCAAGAAGCGCATCCTCAGGTGGTACTTGGACCCCTTGGGGTTGTAGCCACGTTGAATCCGGTTGAATCTGAAAAACCCAAGCCACCTCCAGGACTGTTTCAAGGGGAATCCCCGCCGTATCAAAGCAAGTGGCCCCGAAAACACACTTGTCCACAACCATAAAATCGTTCTTTGCAAAAACTCATTAGACATATGAGTGGTCGGAGGGTGACACAAAGAGTCCGCACGAGACCCCCAACACACACCAACCACCCCGAAAAACACTCCTGACAACAGAAACAACGAAACAGGCGCAACAAAACACATCCTACCCTAACTGGAAAGCCGCTTTTGCAACATGACTTGAAGTGGTACAACTTTCTCTCGCGGGCCAAAAGGGGGCACTCAACATCTTCACGAAGTGGATATTCTAATAAGCCGCTTGCAATTGGGAACCAAGAACAAGTCCAAAAGTCATCCATCTGGATGAACACATAGCCCACAAATCCAAAATAAATTGAACTCCACGCCTCTGTTGAGAGCCAAGAAAAAAAAAAAAAACAACTGAAGAATTTGAACCCCACCCAGGGAACCTTCGAAACAGGAAACATGGGGATCTGGATTTCAATTGCCGCCCTTCCTGGCTGAACATTTCTCGCGGGATGAGGCACCCAACTTTAAAACAGAGAGTGTCCCTAAAAGTATAAATTCTCGATAAATCAACTACACTGTACACTAATAGGGATCCGGATGCATTATACACCTGAACATTGCAACTTGTGAATGGTGGTTTCCAACTATATTTTGGTGTTGAAAAACAACATGTTTTAAATGGTTGCGAAATTTTAAGGAGCCCTGACCAAGCAAAGGGCAAAGTGTTCTACCAACGTCAGGTAAGTAGGTCATAGCCATGATTATAAGTGGGGCAACTGGGGTTAGTTCCGCTACCATGATCATAAGCTACTTACAAAATACTTGCACACCCAAGTTAGAAACAAAAACACCGGGGCCGTTTGAAGTACATGACCCCCATGGGCTTACTTCCTCGGAAAAAGTCAGCCCAACACACCCAGTATCAAGGGAAACAGGGGCATTTTGTTTTTGGCCTCGGTACTTTTAAAGAAGCCCCCCCCAACAACAACATGTAAAAAGCCTGCATGGCAGGTCTGGGTCAAACAACGCAACTAGGGCAAGGCACGACCATTCCCTTGGCTCTGCATCAATATGGGAGAATAGAACCACAAGCGTGGAACCTTGCACCATTGGTTCACGGAACTTTTGAAGCCATAGAAGGGCACCGACCACATCGTAAAACAACAATACTCCGCAGCCGTGAAAGCGTCATCGTGCGAAATGTAGGCATATTGGAGGACATACTGGTCAGTTTTAGGGTCACCATAGTTCCTCTACATCTTTGCAGAAAACCACCAAAGCGCCAAGGGGCAAAAGAACAAGCAGTCTTGGCTGAAAAGAATCGGGAATCACCCCCTAGACGCAATACTTGACCTCGGGATGAATCAACCCATCCTACGGAGGGGGACGACACCCTCTCCAAAAGTGATGAATGATGAATCCCCACCCAAAGGGGGCACCCCCTATTGATCAACCAGAATTGTATTGATCCGGGGTTCCCACCCACTACTCCAAATACCCTCATATTTAAGTGTACTTTGTCCAGAATAGACACCTCCTTTTCTAGTAAGGGGTCGACTTCACACCCTAAAAACACAAACGGATCTATTGCTCCAGGCTAGACACACACCCCAGGCTGGACACAAACGGATCTATTGCCGAAACCATACCAAAAGGGGACACACACGCACCCTGTGAGTCCTTTAGTAGAGCGGTTAGAATAAGTTGGTACCAACCTTTTTTTCTGTAGTCTATTTTAGTAGGGGAACCAAATCTCCCAACCAAAAAAGTTGGTAATTAAACGGGCACTACTGGGGGACCTAGCCCTCGTGCTCAACCTGGCTTCTTATACTCAGTTCCCCAAAGGACCTGGAACTAAAAGATTCACCTTTTGGGGCCATGACTAGATACGGACCAAAATGGGAAAACCAAAAGGTCAGATCCGGTCGATTCGCTTTGAACAACTGAGAGTAACTTGGCGAAACGAAGACCCCAAGTATGAACATCCCCCATTCTAGAAGATGCCCAAGGCTTGAATTGAGGGATCCCCAAGCGAAGAGCCCTGTATCATGGGGGTCCTCATTGGAACCTCGGGCTAAGGCCTTGAGCTCGAGCCTCGTCCCGACTCCCAACTTCGCGCCTCGGCGGCCTGCATCAATTCGTAGGCCTCCTGGCGCGCTTGGCAGGTCGAAGGTCCAACTAGAGCGGCGACCCGTTTGGGCCCAGAAACCCGCGGCTCTCCATGGTGGTAAGCGTTTATGTGTTTGTATATATATATATATATATTTGTATACTTAGAGTCTCCATGACCCCATGCTTTGAGGGGCATGCAGACTGAAGTATATGTATTGCCAATGGCCTGCTATTATTACTAGTGTTCGCGCAATGCCTGAAACATATGTGTATATATATATATACATACCTGAGTGGGCTGGCCCCAAAAAGTCTGAACTTTTTCATATACCACTCAACATAGTCCGGCCCCAACAAGTGACTAAAGCTCAGGAACTCAGGAAGTGTATATCAAACAAATGCAAGTCCATGAACTCAGGTGAGAATATCTATGTACACGTACATCACACATACGAAGATTTCTGTACTTTTCCCCAACAGCTGGAAGCTTTGGGGTCTCAGCCCAGATAGGCTCCGGGGTGGTCCGGGGCGGCCCTGAGGTAAGGTTCTACGAGGGTTCCACGAATATTCCACGAGGGGTCCACGAGGTTCTGCGAGGGCTGCGGGGTGGTGCGAGCACTAAAAAGAGCATCACATGCTGTTGGGGATATCACTTGAGCTTATTTCATTTGCCCATTGATCCTTTTCACATGACTTACTTGAGAAGCTCCTGCCGCAGCGGAGCGGTTTATAGTCGCCCGCTGAAAAGTGATGCTTGAAACCTGGGACTTGCTTCACGAGTTACCCTTGGGTTGGGATGGGATTTTGTGGGTTCAAGCCCCTTAAACCCACACCTGTTGGTCAGCTTCCTCCTAGGTGGGTTTTGAAGCCCCTCCCCCCCGCGCCCTGTTTGCCTAGATGAATGAAGTCGCATTGTTCAATGGCCAACCAAAAACGCCCATGCGCAAAACACAACATCACCCTCTCCTGATCTGTCAGTTTTTTCGAATTGAGGTTTAACCCCAACTTCCCCTAAGCTCCAAACACGAAAGGCTTGCATGCCAGGAGCATCTTAACTATCGTTTATCCGAGGTACCAAGCATTCATCATCAAGCCCTCCCCAGAATCCCGCAATGGGGCGGAAAACACACCTTGAGCAACTGAACGTTCAAAACATCAGATTGATCAGGGATCTTTCTCGAACGAAAACGCAAACTCTCCGGCAATGCGTTGGACATCCCTGCCACAAATGACACCGCTATGTTTAGGCATAAGGATTCAGGATTGATGCTGACCAACCCACTCCTTGCAACAATGACGTTGCCGCGACGTTACGCCTACTGAAGGGTCAACCTTCCCTACCCAAGGAATAATTGTGAACAACTGGTAGAATCCCTACCCAAGGAATGTAGGAACCTGAAATAAAGGGTCCTACTCCCATGGAATGTGAACCCCCGAGTAAACAACTTGTCAATTGTGGGAATCCGGATCACTTTTTGTGGGGCCCGAGCCACTAAAGAGGTAGCTTGGGCTCACCCCACACCCAATACCCTTTGTTTTAGGGTATGATCTCGACCCATTCTTGAAACAGGAGGTAAATAAACCCTTTTTAGACTCAGGGTTTTCCCCCGGAAAAAATAATAATAAAAAGGGCAACCAGAGAGGGGGAATGACTTGGAGTAGGGGGGGTACTTACGCCCAGGAGTTCCCAGTCAGCGAATCCGTCCTTTGACATCACTGGGGTTGGACCGTTGGACCCCCCTTCGCCCCCCCGAAAGCCCCGCCGCAGGCAGGCGCCTTCATGGCCATGGCTTCCTCCTTCTCCCGTTCAGCGGCACGGGACTTCGCCTGGCGAAAGGATTTGGGCCTGTCCGCCCCGCCGCAAGCCCCGGGTGAGGTTCTACGAACCTCCCACCGTGCGGGTGCGGAAAAAACAAAGAAGAAACAAAACACAGCGGATTTGGGCGTGTCCGAAAGCCTCGGGTGAGATGTTGACCCCCAGTTGATTCATAGTGGGGGGTCCCTGGGTGAAACGTGGGGAATCAGACCTCCCACCCCCCTCTATTGATGAACTGGTTGGTTGATTCATACTGGATGGTATCGAAATCCATAAATCCATTTCGCACCAAAGAAACCATGAAATGATGAGGTTCTAAGAACCTCCCACATTGCCAAAATGAAAAAAAACGACAAAAACACACACACACACACACACACACACACACACACACACACACACACACACACACACACACACACACACACACACACACACACACACACACACACACACACACACACACACACACACACACACACACACACACACACACACACACACACACACACACACACACACACACACACACACACACACACACACACACACACACACACACACACACACACACACACACACACACACACACACACACACACACACACACACACACACACACACACACACACACACACACACACACACACACACACACACACACACACACACACACACACACACACACACACACACACACACACACACACACACACACACACACACACACACACACACACACACACACACACACACACACACACACACACACACACACACACACACACACACACACACACACACACACACACACACACACACACACACACACACACACACACACACACACACACACACACACACACACACAGTGGTTCCTTTTTGGGTTTCCCCGTTTCTTCGGGTGAGATGCACCCCCAGTTGAAACGTCGTTTGGTGTGCGTGGGACTGGGCAAACGTGAACTATGTGGTGGCTATCCGTGTTCAGATCCCCTGCGAATTGCAAGAATCACTGTTCGTGGGGGGAAAAAATGGACACCCAACCACTAAACCAACTAAACACCCAAAAGCCTGGGACGGCGTGGAACTTGGGAACTGCCACGCTTGTAATCTACCTGGAGTCTGCTTCTGACCCTTAAAAAGATGATGGTGGGTCCAGGTACTTACCTGACGTTGGTTGAACATCCAAGTACCCCTTTTTCTGGGTCCAATACCCAAGTCATCTCGTTGAAAACTCCTCCAGCAGCGCCTCTGCAGCCGCTGTGGCCCTGTTGGCTTCTTCTGTGGCCGCCTCTAGCAAAAACACATCTGAGAACAACACACCTAGAACCTCCAGTAGAGAGCTTAGAATAAGTTGGTACCAACTCTTTTCTTCTGTAGTCTGTTTCGGGGAACCCTCCCCGAAAAAAGAAACGGTAAAAGCGCACTACGGGGGGACCTGGTCCATGAACTCAGGGAAAGAGGATGATGTGCAAACTGGGCTGCCCTCAGATCCCCCGCTAAAAGTTTAACTCTTAGCAGGTTGAAAGGAAATCCCCACTAAGCACTAAGAAGCAAAAAGCTAAGGGGATGGCTGGGAACCACTGAGAATATATTGGTTTGTTTTAACAAGCATTTTGGCGCAGACCACGGAAGCGTTCAATTTTGGGACTTCTCTCACAGCGATCTGAATACCGGCGAGAGGAGTTATGGCGCTCATCTTCCGAACAGACAGAACACCGCAAGCGAAATTATGTAATTCGACAGGACTCCAACCCCCCACTCAAGGTAGACATAACAAAACCGGGTCGGTGGACACTCTGCGAAAAGTGAGTCATGTTCTGCTTTGGCCAGTAGCGCTCGAAATGTTCCGGAAGGTTCCTATAAGGGCCTGCATAAATGGAATGGGTATGCACAAAGCGGCGCAACCAAACTTATGCATATTTATTGGAGTACACTATTAGTAATTCTCACTTCCTGAGTGGGCTGGCCAATACACATCCAAACTGTTGGTTTTTCCACAAACATGGACTTCCCAAAAAGTTTCAAGTCCATGAACTAGGGAGTGAGTAGTATTCAGGCCCTTAGCTTACCTTTCCAACGATCATGCCAGTGGAACATCAGGGGTTACGTCCCAATAGGAAACACGTCTTCTAGAGCCCGCCGGTCGTCAGCTTCCACGACTGTTGGAGGCTAGGTGATTTTGGTCCCCATCTGAGGGTCCTGATGAGATATGAGGCCCCAAAATAGGTCGATTCGTTTGACACCCCGTTTCAGCTACTCGGGGTGTACGGGAATTGACCCAAGCCTCGATCGGACCCTTAGGGCCAAATGCGTCGCAGGTCACACCCAGTAGAATGGCCATGGAAACGTCTCTTTTTGGAGACCCTCCCTCCCACAAACATAGCACGTGTGGGAGGGTACCTGGAAGATCAAGTTCCCTTCTAAGGGAAGCCTGCCTCCGAAAACAAGGTCCCCTGAGTAATAACCCCCCACGTCTTATTATCCAAGTTTACGCGGGGGATTTCTTTTCTTTTGGGGGACCCCTGATATACTGGAGAGTTTAGAGATCAGGGCTCAACATTCAATGGACAATAGGAAGCAGAAAAATCCATGGTTGTGGAAATGTTCAAGCCTGTCATGCCAAACTGGGTTGCTCTTGCCCGAGCAGCACCTGTGGGCGGGTACCTGGAAGATCAATCTCCTCTTGTAGGGACTTGCCTTGCTCAGTTGCCCAAAGGACCCAAACAAGGGCTAATCTTTTGGGGCCACTAAACATGAACCAACATTGAACCAAAACGTCAGATCCGGTCGATTCGCTTTGAACCACTGAGCTTGGTATCACAGCTATGTCCAACACTCACAGTTTTCGTCCACCTGACTCATTCCTTCAAGCAAGAAAGGCTGATCGGGCGGCACAAAAGGAAGCATGGCAGTTTGGTATCCGTGAGGTCTGCTTTCAAGCCATCGAAAAGTGTTCAATTACCATTTTCCCATAGAACCAGTTGGAGAGAAGGAACCGTCAGCAAACAAGCAAAGGGAGCGGGCAAGTAAGATTGTCTTGAATACACCACGTCAGCTTTTGCCCCCAGCCCGAACTACGATGTTTGCTCGGCATTTTGAAAAATACGTTCAAACAAGTTCCCAGCTGAGTTGTTGTGACAAACACAATACCCTCCTGTCCCCCAACACGCAAGTCCCCTGGAAAAAAATATATTTCCAAAATAGTGATAAATTCCATCGTTAAAACCAACAGGGGCAAAAAGCAATATTCATTTCCGCAAATGGAAGAACCAAAGGTGAGAGGAACATAAACCTTGGAGGACCTCCCGTCATGCATCCAGTGGCCAAGGGAAACCATGTACCCGTATAGAGGTAACCAAGGGCTTGCCACCCGATACTAAAAGAAATATAATAACGAAGGCTTGCCCGGGATGTCTGGGAATTTCTCGGGGAATCGCCAGCTTGCTTGTGCCGTGTTCCATCTGCCAAGCGGCCATACTGGCCCTGCGCTGAGCCCGTGCAGCCTTTACCTGAACAAATCGCAGAAAGATCGCTTTCTTCTGTTCCAGTGCCATTTTCTCTTCTGAGAGACGTTGCTACCGTAAGTAGATGGCATCATTCCCCCCATGGCTTGGTGGCTTAGTCATTCCCTCTTCCCAACATAAAGGGAATTGAGTCATCTGTCACATTGGGTGTTCGGCCAAGTTAGCCACCTGAACCATAATCAAAACCCGGTGCAAAAATGGTCGACCCCGAACCATGTAAAGAACTAAGGCGGCTATCCGCAGCTATTTATGGCAAGGGGATCGTCCCTTACTAACCTTCATCAATCCCCGGGTTTTGATTGTGACACACCTGTTTCAACCCGCATCCGGGGTCAACTCGGAGACTCAGAAGTGGGTTCAGGGTCAACTTGCCACTGGCCATGGCGGAACACCCAAGCACTGAGAGCTAGTCTTCCCAAAACGTGACTAAGAACTCAAGAACTTAAGGAGTGAGAGGCTCAAGCGACCCTTGAGCGAGTCTCTCTCTCTGTTTTCAGGATTTGGACCCCCCGCTTGAGGTTTGGTAGCACCTCCCATCCGCTAAGGCGGTTCTTGGTTTTATGCCAGCAAACATAGCACTGCCTTTTGAGGACCATTTCCCTCAAGACAACAGAAACAACAACATCATGTGTAATTACCTGCTGGCTCTACAGGGTTCATAGGCTTGTCTCTTATATGGCTGTGGCTCAACAACATGTACCAACATGGTGCCTTGGTAAATGGAACCAGAAACTAAAACCTGCCGAACCCTAGCACTTGAATTTTGAGCCGCAGCCATATGCATTGCACGCAAAAAAGCGGGGCCTGGTGTCCTTTTTATTCCACGAAAAAAACCTTTTGGACACCTGACGAAAGACCAGAGCACGAACACCGAAAGGTAAGGTCGACTTTGGGCAAGGCTTTGGATTCCCTTTCAGTCCTCCCAGAACCAAATAACATGGAACCATATTTCGTTGCCCCGGAAACATCACCATCAGAACACTCGCCTTGAAATGACCAAGCAGGCGATGCTTGAAACCACCACAATTTCTCAACTCACTGCCTCCGTGGACTGGCCTAACGAGTCCCAACTTGTCTGACACTAAACTGGTTTAGCCAAAAGTATAAATTCCACTTGGTTGCTGTTGACCCCCCTGCAAACAGTTGACCACTTTTTTGGGGTTTAGTGGCCCAAAAAGTTAAAGTCTAAAGATCCAACCCAATAGCAGTCAAGAGGAACTCATTGTGGAAACCATGGGCGTGAATCCTAATGGGCGACCCGACGTGGTGGACATCATTTCAACTGGGGATTCCTGTCGTCCCCATTTTATATCTCATCTACCCAAAGAACAGGGAAATGAACAGTGTTGGATCTTTGAGTAAACATGGACCAACACACAAAAACCAAAAGGTTAAAAGGTCCAAGTGAGGCACAATCCAAACCCGGTATTAAAATGGTCTACCCAGAACCATGTAAAGAATTAAGAAGGCGGCCGAAACTATTTCTGGCCGGGACTGCCCGGTACTAACCTTCATCAATCCACGGGTATTGAGCAAGTGGCTCAAGTGAAAAATTCGCGGCCAATCTTCTAGGTGAATTATAATATTTCACCAACCTGAAACTTGCGGTGGTTGGGGGGCTATTCCACACATAAACCACCCATTTTGGGATAATTCGGTAGTGTAAGGTCGTTATATTTTACCCAGAATCTTACTCAAGGACATGGACCAACACACAAAACCAAAAAAAACAGTTAAAAGGTCCAAGTGTAAAATGTGTGGCCAATTTTTCTTGCTCAGCTTGCGCCTCTTGCTCAGCTTGCTCCTTGGCGGCTGCAGCCTCGGCCTGCAGGCAAAACCCGAGTTGCCATCCCCCCCCACGTGGCGCCATTCGCTCAGCGAAAATCCGAAGGACAAACCTAAGGAAGCTTTCTGCTCCCCTGCTAAAAAATGTTTAACTTTTAGTGGTTTGATGGAAAACCCACATATGTTTCAGGTGATCCCACAACTTCCAGGCCAGCCACTACTAGGTCCTCCAGATTTGAGAGGGTAGAATAAGTTGGTACCATCTTTTTTCTGTAGTCTATTTTAGTAGGGGAACCCTCCACTTAGTGGGATTCCTCCTGAGCGATCAAGCACAGAACATCTCATCGATTCCTGCCATCTTCTGAAGGTGCCACCAACATTGAACAACAAAAAACACTGTCATGAGTCATGCCCATGTTCCAAGGTACTTTCCCCAAAAGAAAAGCACATACCCCTCCCAAATCAGGCTATGAATGAGTTATACGGGACCCCCAAGCCGCATTTCCATTAAACAAAATGTCACATTCCCAACGGGCCCAGAAAGAAACCACGTTCCGTAGGCTTCCTTTTAAAGGGCAAATAGATGGCCATGGTAGTTTTTTTTTTTTAAATCACCAGGTAAACCAGGAATCGCCACCAATTTTTCGACCGACACCTATGCCATGTTCACCTTTTGGGGTTCCCAACATGAAACCGACAGGTCAGAGAAGGTCAGCAAAAGAAAAGGCTCAGAAAATGGCAGGTCCAGGAAGCTACAGGCCCTGCGAGTCACCATCAAAACCAGGCATACCAGGTATGAACATCTACACAAATCCATGTAGAGAATTCAAAGGGCGGCCGCATATATGTATATATGTCTGCACAGCTGCCGGTGCTGAAGACTCTGCGTGACAAGGGTTCACACTTCTTGTACTTAGACAGTCTGGAAGTTGCTAAGTGGTTAGCTTTGCCCTAGTTGTAACCCATGTACCCTGGTTGTAATAACCAGGATAATGAGAACATCTAAGTAGGCAACGCGCATGCGTGAACGAAACAAAGGCTGCGACGCCACAATTGGATCAAGAAGACTCGTACCGAGCGACGCACCGAGCGACGCATCTCCCACTGCCCAGCTCCGCTTTTCAGGCAACCCGGACACCCCCAAAGAATTCGCACAACCAACCAGCCTAGTGGATCCCAGTTATTCAGTTCTTTAACCACTTCTTGTACCTGGAGTCTCCATGACCCTTTAAAAATGGGTCAATGACCCCATTATTTTAGGCAATGACCAACCATTTTTTAAGGGTCATGGAGACTCTAGGTATAGTTCTTTAACCACTTCTTGTATGCGATTTTCCCGGAATTGGTTGAATCGGGCATCCTTGGTTACCTAGCTTTAGCACTAGGGCGGGGTGTATTCATCCAGAACAGTCCTCCAATTCATAAGATTCACCGGACTCGTTGGGCGAGCATGTTTGTGAGGGGAGCTTGGAATCCTTCGAAAACCTGATTTCTGTTTAGTTCGCTGATTTTAACAACGGAACCCCCCGTCAAAGACGCAACAAGGGGGAAACAGTAAATCTGGAGGTCTGGGTGCTGTTTCGAAAAGAGTGATATCTCTTACCCTCCCTCTCACAATCCTGGAAGTGGACCGGGGGGGAAACAACAGTAGTCTTTCCAACCCCTCCCAGCGTCAGCTTCCGTGCTTCGAGTGGCAAAAAATGACCGGGCATGCAACTCTGAAAGGGATCCAGGTTCCCTCCGTGAGACTTACTCCCGCTCAAAGTCTCACTCTCAATCCAACCTTTGGATTGCCCTTTTGGGTTGTCAGGTGGAACAGGGATCCTTACATTTTACACCTGAACATTGCAACTTGCAAATGGTGGGTTCCAACTTTATTTTGGTGTTGAAGAAGCAACATGTTTCAAATGGTTGCAAAATGAACTTATTTTAAGGAGCCCCAGGTGGAAACATGGTGTTTTCCTCTTCCGGAGTTAGTTTCTGAAGTCTCTTGAATCTAAAAAACATAAGAGAGGAAAACAAAAACATGGCCGGGTTTCCATGACGAAAAACACCTCCTGCCGGTTTGTCGAGTTCCCAAGTTTCTTTTTTTTGAAGTGTGGGATTCCCGATAAAAACAAACCGCAAAGCCTTCTCAAGTAGCTTGGAGTTGAGGGCTTGGATCGGCATTGGGCAGATTCTCTTGGGGAGAAGTATTCACACAGGTACAACCTACACTCAGACTTGGGGAGTGGAAAATCCTAAAGGAGGCCATCGGTGAGCTAAGTGTTAAGCAACCCTGGTTCTAACCCACTGAACAGGGACTCACTTCCTGAGAGCAAACCAAAAGCCTAAGTCTTGTATGTATCGCTCAAATGGGGGGTTCAACCAAAATAGGAATCGAACTCCTTTCGGGATGGCTTTTTGACCGGAAAACAAAAAGGGAAATCACCTGGAGGAGTCGGTCCCCCATTTTGAGTAACATCCAAATGGTCTTCCCCAAAACATATCCCAGTGCTGCCAGATACCACTATGTAGTCGGTAACCAGCTATTTTTACCTTTAGGTTTTACATGATGGTTTCCACTGGCTACCTACTATGGTGGTAAATGAACCACTGGGTATTATATAAGGTCCAGACACCTAGAAAGTCAGGGGACTTGTGACAGGGATACTGACAACTTACCTGTCGCAAAAGGAGTCCCTAAATGTCTAGGTGACTCATTGATACCAACCACTAAGTAGCGTGGCTCCATGAAAAATGTCCTTGGTGGAGGTTCATCAGGGGAACAGCCGCATTAGGGTGTTCTAGAAAACCCGGGGTCAACATTAAACCAGGTACTTGCTTGCATCTGCGATTGCCAAGTTCGTAAGTTCTCGGTTGCTTTCTGCTCCCCTGCTGAAAGTTTAACTGTTGGTGGTTTAATGGAAAATCCATTAGCTGGCAAAAATTAAAAGTCCTAACATCCAAGCCACCAAAGAGTTGTCGGTAGCTTAGGTCACCCTCTTAAGCAAAAAAACAAAAAACAACTGGGCGAATCGATCACAAAGAAAGCTTGGTAACCCTGGTCACAACCCACTTCCAAGTATATACCCCGTTCAGTGGGTTAAAACAACCTGTCGCAAGCTTGGTTCCCAACAAACAGGGTAGCCTGGCACCTGAAGCCCCAAAAGCCAAAACAAAAACAAAGACCCAACAAAAGACCCAAAAGACCCAAACCTTGGCCCAACCAAAGCACCAACAGCAACGCCCCCAGCAAAGAAGTCGCCTGAAGACCCAAAAGACCCAAAAGCCCCAAAAGCAACGCCAACAAACACGTAGCCTTGCGCCTGAAGACCCAAAAAGCCCACTTAAAACAACTCGGCCCAACAAAAGAAGTCGCCTGGCGCCTTTGAAGACCCAAAAAAGACCCCCAAAAAACAACAGACCCAACAAAAGACCAACAAAAGACCCACCTTGGCCCAACCGAAAAGCACCCCAAAAGCGTCAAAATTGCGCGCGCGCGCGCGCGCGCGCGCCGAGCTGCGCGCTCTGCGCTCGGCGCTCGGCGCCTCCTTCTCCGCCATCTGCTGCGCCAAGTCCGCTGCAGCCTGCTGCCGCTGCGCCGCCTCATGGGCCTTCCGTGACGGATCCCTGGGTTTTTTGGAGGTTTCCTAGGGATCTGGGTAATCATTCTCAGGGATCCCTGTCCTAACATCCAAGCAACACGCACCAAAGTATCAAACACCAGCCATGTCCCCAGGGTTCTTGGTGGTTTTCTAGAAGGAATGGAAGTGGAAGGTACCGGTGACCCGGTTAGTGCCACCGTGCCAGCTGACATTGTCAGATTGGGTCGATATCGTGCGTGGCTGATTGAGACTTCCTGTTTCAGGTCGCTTTGAAGAGACGTCAAAAGGAACATTTTGAAAAATTGTTGGTCCCATTCCACACATACCTATGCACATTCCACACATACCTATGCAGGGGTATCCACTTCTGAGAGGGGTTTCCCTCTGGATGTCCTCTCCCTGAACTGAAAATGCCAGCAAATGGGACCTTGTACCGATGGGGTTCCGAAAACAGTCCCAACCAAAAGGGTCCATCATTCTAAGAACCTCCCACATGCCAAAATGAGGATTTGGCGCCGGACATAAACAAAAACAACAACAACAAACAGTGGTGCCCCTTTTGGTTTCCCTGAAAAAAAAAACCAAACCCCAACAGTTCGCCTCGGCCCCAAAAAAGCCACCAACCAAAATTTTGCCAGGCCGCCCCCCCCCCACCCCCCCCCACCCATGTCGGCTGGCCCAAAATCCTGTCCGGCGGGCCTTGAAATTTTCGGGGTTCGTTGGCGTCCAGCTCCATGGGTCCATTTTTGTCGAAAAAGTGCGAAAAGCACTAAAAAAGCTTTTTTTGTCCTGAAAAGCCCTGAAAAGCATGACCTCCTGCTGGCCAGCCCTATCTGACGTGTCTGAGACTAGGCTCAGGCCCAGCCCAACCAGGCCTGTCAGCCCAGAGCACACAGCCTCAGGCCCAAGCTTAGGCCTAGCCCCAAGCACGGCCCAAGTCATCCAGCAAGCCCAGCCCAGCCCAGGCCCACTAGGGCCCTCCCAGCCCACCAGCAGGCTCAGCCCCAGCCCCTCAGTCCGGCTAAGCAGCTCAGCCCAGGCCGACCTCCTGCTTGCGTCTGGCCCCAAGTCATCCACCTTCGGCGCTATGCCAGCCTGAGACTAGCCTCAGGCCCAGTCCCTCAGCCCGCCTGCCCAGAGGGTCCGATATTGAAAAATATCAATACAAATACTTGATTTCAGTCGGATATCAATCTTGTGATTGATTTGGGCCCAATTTCAAGAATTTCATCGACTGGCTGCTTTTACAACTGAATACCGAGAATATTGATATTTATGTTGATTTTGTTGATGTGCATTGAACTGCCTTGCAATCGCCTTGCAAAGTTCCAGAAGCATTTGTCTTTTGCAAAGCTCTGATGAACTTCAAAAGCTGGTTCTGACAAGGCTGCCTGACAAGGCCCCAGCAACACAACGGGCCTGACAAGGCTCTAAAAACACAGCTTCAGAAACATTGGGCCTGACAAGGCTCCAGAATACAATGGCCTGGCAAGGCTCCAGGAACACATTGCGCCTGACACTTTGGGAGGCTCCAGAAAACGATTGGGCCTGGCAAGGCTGCAGAAACATTGGGCCTGGTAAGGCAGAAACATTGGGCCTGGCAAGGCTCCAGAAACATTGGGCCTGGGGCCTGGCAAGGCTGCAGGAACACATTTGTTAGGCTCCAGAAACACTTTGGGCCTGGCAAGGCTGCAGAAACATTGGGCCTGGCAAGGCTCCCTGGGCCTGGCAAGGCTGCAAAAACACAGTGGGCCTAACAAGGCTCCAGAAACACTTTGGGCCTGGCAAGGCTACAGAAACATTGGGCCTGGTAAGGCAGAAACATTGGGCCTGGCAAGGCTCCAGAAACATTGGGCCTGGTAAGGCAGAAACATTGGGCCTGGCAAGGCTCCAGAAACATTGGGCCTGGTAAGGCTCCAGAAACATTGGGCCTGGCAAGGCTCCAGAAACATTGGGCCTGACAAGGCTGCAGAAACATGGGGCCTGGCAAGGCTACAGGAAAAAGGCTCCAGAAATATTGGGCCTGGCAAGGCTACAGAAACATTGGGCCTGGTAAGGCAGAAACATTGGGCCTGGCAAGGCTCCAGAAACATTGGGGCTGGTAAGGCAGAAACATTGGGCCTGGCAAGGCTCCAGAAACATTGGGCCTGGTAAGGCTCCAGAAACATTGGGCCTGGCAAGGCTCCAGAAACATTGGGCCTGGCACGGCTCCAGAAACATTGGGCCTGGAAAGGCTACAGAAACACATTGGGCCTGCAAAGGCTCCAGAAACTTGGGCCTGACCAGACCTGGCAACCCAGAAGCACATGGCCTACATGGCTTGCCAAAAAATTGCATGCGATGCAGATCTTAAAAACACCTAGCACTGAGGACTACTTGCTCATGCACTTGGCATGCACTTGTGGGAGTGCCATCTTTAGCTTTGGCCCAAAAAGCCATGAAAAGAGGTGGCTCTAGAAACAAGAAGAAGGATGTGGTTGACATTGCTCATGTAGTGGATCTGTGGCTGGACCTTTCCCGGCAACAGGATGAACTCTTCAAGTTTGGGGAGTACAAAGGCCTGTGGGCTGAGTGCAGTTGCAGGCCAGACATTGTGAACCTAGTTGATGTGTGCTGGTCCTTGTCCAAAGTAAGTTCTTCACTCAATGTGGGCTATGGTGACCTGAAGGAGGCTTGCACTGTGCTGTTCAACAAGGACCCAAGCCTGAAACCAAATGCTGCACACACAGTGCCCAAGGCTGCAGCATTTGTTGCAGACAAGCTGGTGGTGGTTCAAAAGCACTTCAGGTCAGTGTCTCTCAACAAAGGCTGGGACCACAAGTTGGCAAAACTCATGGAGAAGTTGTCCATGCCCAAGCAAGAGAAGTTGAACAAATTTGTGGACTACCTCAGAAAGCTGAATGACTGGCGATCAGATGCAAGCCAACCAGCATCTGATGTGCAGGAGGCCCAGACAAAAAATGCAATATCCGAGAGCTCAAAACCTTCAAGCTCAAAGGTGCCAAGCTGTAAGGAAACACCAGTGCAGGTGAAAGCCAACACAGCAAAGAAGAGGAAACTGACGCCCAAGACATCCTCTGCCAGTTCTGGAGTGCTGGTTGATGAGTATGGACTTCCTGACCTCTCTTGGGCTTCTCAACAAACAGACGCTTCTGCACCCTCTGCAGGTGACAGCTTGCTTGACCCTGGTTCCAAGCCCCTCCCTATCTGCAAAACTGTCATCAGGAAGCTAAAGAAGGACCCTGATCACAAAGGGCAGCCAAAGAAAAGGCCTGCTACATCCATGCACATGGTGGGGAAAGATGAGAACAGTGAAGCGCCCCAAGCTGAAGAAGGAACCAAGCCCATCAACATGTACACCACCTTTGGCTCCAAGCAGTCCTACATCACAGTGGCAGAGGCAGGGTCTTCAAAGAAAAAATTATGGGTGAGCATCACGGAGAAGATGTCGAAAAAACACCAGGACCTGATCAGGAAGATCTTCCAAGCAAAGCCTAAGACCAAGGATGAAGCCATCCACTTGAGGGCCAAGGTTTTGAAGTGATAGACCCGCTTGCAAACAAGACGAGCGCATGTAAATGGAATCTGTGCACTTGCAGTTGGCTTTGCTGATGCACATGTGTCCCCCCTGCTTGTGTTGAACCTGGCCAGGCTCCAGGAATATTGGGCCTCACAAGGCTCCAAAACAGACAGGTGTTGCTTCAGGCTGCAAAAGACAGGGCCTGACAAGGCTGCAGAAAACTAGTGGCCTTGGCAAGGCTCAAGTTTGTGGAGACCAGAAACATTGGGCTGGCAAGGCTCCAAAACAGACACGGCCTGACAAGGCTCCAGAAACATTGGGCCTGACAAGCTGCAGAAACATGTGGCCTGGCAAGGCTACAGAAACACATTGGGCCTGCAAAGGCTCCAGAAACTTGGGCCTGACCATGGCAAGGCTCCAAAAACTTGAGGCATCCAGAAACATGGGGCCTGGCAAGGTTCCAAAACAGACCAAGGCTCCAGAAACATTGGGCCTAGGCATTGGCCTGACAAGGCTCTAGAAACATTGGGCCTTCCAAGGCTCCACATGGGCTTGGGCCTGCAAAGGCTCCAGAAACATTGGGCCTCCAGGAACAAGGCTCCAGAAGCATTGGGCTCTAGAAACATTGGGCCCCAGAAAAACATTGGGCATTGGGCCTGACAAGGCTTTAGAAACATTGGGCCTTCCAAGCAGAAACACATTGGGCTGGGCCTGCAAAGGCTCCAGAAACCTGGGCCTGACCATGGCAAGGCTCCAAAACAAGGCTCCAGAAACATGGGGCTCCAAAACAGACCAAGGCTCCAGAAGCATTGGGCCTGACAAGGCTCTAAGAAACATTGGGCCTTCCAAGGCTCCAGAAACACATCGGGCATTGGGCCTGCAAAGGCTCCAGAAACATTGGGCCTGCAAAGGCTCCAAAAACATTGGGCCTGACAAGGCTGCAGAAACATGGGGCCTGGCAAGGCTACAGGAAAAAATTGGGCCTGCAAAGGCTCCAGAAATATTGGGCCTGACAAGGCTCCAGAAAACCATTGATTCTGGCAAGGTGAGGCATGACAAGGCTCCAGAAACATGGGGCCTGGCAAGGCTCCAAAACAGACACGGCCTGACAAGGCTCCAGAAACATTGGGCCTGACAAGGCTCCAGAAACATTGGGCCTTCCAAGGCTCCAGAAACAGGCCTGACAAGGCTGCAGAAACTACAGAAAAACATTGGGCCTGGCAAGGCTCCAGGACAGGGTCTGGCAAGGCTCCAGGGAGTTCAAAAGAGACCAGCAAGCCAGACAGCAAAGTGGCGTGAAAAAAGAGTGTGGCATTGCAAAGGATGAACTGACTTGGACTGCTCAAGTGTTTGGGCATTCAGGGTTTTGCTTTTTTTTTTTGTGAGGTCATGCAGTTGCAGCTGTTGGCTCCAGCCACTATGGCACCTAAGTGGCAATGGCCAAAAAAGTCAGGTGCCCAGAAAAAGAAATCAAGGGAAGCCAGAGGCA